TAAAATATTGTAAGTTAAAATACCAAGGTGGTAACGTCTGTTAATCACATTTTAATTTTTAGGCGTTTTGCTCAGTTACAAGAAAGAAAATTAATTGGAATTGTTACCTTTTCTAAACAAATTCTGCTTTGTACAGAGCAATAGAAATCTGTAGAACTATTAAAATTTTGTGGGTAACTCATTATGCTTAAAAATACTCATTTTTAACTCATTTTTTCACTTTTCTCTTTTTAAAAATAATTTTGTATTTATAATATATTATTTGTATTTTTTAATGCAAAGAATGCAGGGATAATTTACTATTTTGCACTGCCCTTTTAATCTGAGGAGCACAGCACAATTTGGGGATAGAGCTTAATTTTGTTATACTTAGCTAATTGTGGTATTTTATTACACAAGCAATAGCTAAAAATTTTTATCTTTTGTAATTGATTGATTGATTGATTCATTCATTTATTTATTGAGGCAAAGTCTCACTCTCTTGCCCAGGTTGGAATGCAGTGGCGCAATATCGGCTCACTACAACCTCTGCCTCCCAGGTTTAAGCGATTTCTGTGCTTCAACCTCCCAAGTATCTGGGATTACATGTGTGTGCCACCACACGCGACTAATTTTTGTAGTTTTAGTAGAGAGGGGAGTTTCACCATGTTGACTAGGCTGGTCTCGAACTCTGGACCTCAGGTGATCCACCCACTTTGGCCTCCCAAAGTGCTGGGATTACAGGAGTGATGTTTCTTGTTAAACATCATTTGCATATGTAACTGGCCAATCTTTTACAATTTAAAAGTAGCTCATCCTTATTTAAGTTAGAAAATATCTTGGCTTTTTTTTTCCCCCCTAAAAGATTGTTTTACTTCAGTGCAGCTCATTAAGAATGTACCAAGTTAAAAGCAGAATATACCTCCACAGAATGGTTAAATGAATACAAAAATAGAAACTGCAAAGTACTTACGTTTTACTCCTTCAGGAAGACAACATAGAAAGAAACCTTTTCCTGAAAAGAGACTGCTAATAATATACGTTAATAAAACCTAATTTTTTGTTTAAAGTTAGGCTTTATTTAAAAATAATTTTATATATTTTTTCAATCTTTATAAATAATACATAAGTAAATTTTTGTAAAAGTTGAAATAGTAGAGATAACTCTAAAATTCCTCTTGGCTACTATTCTGGCTGTTTTTCCCTCCCAGGTGAACCACTGTTGCTTGCTGGGTATCTGTTGCTTGTCTGCACGTGGGCATGTGCAAACATGTCTGTTTGTATTATAGAGATAACTTTTTAAATAGCTATATGGTATCCTGCTGTATGTATTCTGTAATCTGTATGTCTTACTTGGCATTTTATTTTGAAATTATTTTATTTGTTTGTTTATTTATTTATTTATTTTTTGAGACAGAGTCTCGCTCTGTCGCCCAGGCTGGAGTGCAGTGGTGCAATCTCGGCTCACTGCAAGCTCTGCCTCCTGGGTTCACGCCATTCTCCTGCCTTAGCCTCCCCAGCAGCTGGGACTACAGGTGCATGCCGCCACACCCAGCTAATTTTTTGTATTTTTAATAGACATGGGGTTTCACCATAGCCAGGATGGTCTCGATCTCCTGACCTTGTGATTTGCCCGCCTCAGCCTCCCAAAGTGCTGGGATTATAGGAGTGAGCCACCGTGCCCGGCCGTTTTAGAGTTATTTTCACGTCTGTACATATCGTTCTCTTTCATTATACCTAATTTTAATAGTCTTTTACAAACAATGTATGCTTATTAGAACAAGTGAAATAGATCAAATCCACCAACTCCACTTCACCCCCAGTTCACTCTCAATTCTCACTCTTCTTGAATTAAGCCATTCTCCAGACTCATACTGACATTTGGTATCATATATAGGGTTTGGGTTTTTCTTTTAAAACTTAAGAGATCAGGTTTTGAATTATTACTCAGCTAAATTATTTCAGTTGAACAATACAAGGTGAACATCCAGTTTATTCTTTTGATTAAAAACTTTCCATATTATGGATATCTTGTTTCTAGGTGTTTGCCTGCGAAAACATGGCAGTAAGCACCTTCGTACCTGATTTCATGTACTGTGCTGGTGCATTTTATTTCTAAAGTCTTCAAAGAGTGTGTTTGTGTTGTTTAAAAATTTTAATGGATAGTACCAGATTACTGATATAGATGTGTTTGAAATGTAAGTCTTTATAATATCTTTTACTATGCAAGTAAAAATTTTTAATCTTGTCAGATATTACTGGGACTTTGTAATTATGTCAGATACCTTTATGGCTTCCAAATTTCTATCTTACTTGCGAAGACTTCCCCCAGTCTAAAGTTTTGGAATGTTTAATGCTCTTGTTACTGGTGTTATTTTTTCCTTTTCATTTCCATCTGATCGTTGACGATATTGACAAAAGGTTTTTTTTAATGTAATTAAAATTACCTTAATTCAGAAAATTTTTTGTAGTCTTTAATATTCATTAAGGTTTTTGGTTTTTTTTTTTCCCAATATTTTGGGACCATTAGCTCATGATTATATTACCTGGGTCTTCAAAATCAGAGTGAATAACAGTAGTGTTCACAGGTATCACTGTCCTGTCACTGATTTTGGTGTAAGTAGTGTAAATACATTCAGCATTTCACTGTTTGATAGGGTGTTTGCTATTGGTTTTAGAAAATAGTTTCTTTCATAATTATATTGCTTATTTCATTTTTTGTTTAGGAATGACTGCAAATTTTCTTATGCCTGTTTGATATTAACACTTTTTTTCTGTAAATATTTGTGCACAGTAATGAATTGTGTCAACAAATTCCTAATGTTGAACTAATCTTGCACCCTTGAAATAACGCTGATGATAGTCTTCTAATATACTACTGTATTCTCCTAGCTAGTATTTTATTTATTTAGAATTTTTTCCTCTATTCATAATGAAAAATATTATTTTCTCTCTTTGTACTGTTGTCGTCAAGATTTGGATGTTAAAGGTTCTGGTAGCCTCAGATTGGAATGCTGATGACCAGAGTATTGATAATTGTTGAAGATGAGTACATGGGGTTTTATGATACTATTGTCTGTATTGCTGTATATGTTTGGAAATAAAGGTTTTTTTTAAGTGAATTAGAGAGCTTTTTGTATTTTTCTGTGGTCCAGGATAATTAAACAAATTATTTTGTTTTTCCAAGGTTGGGAGATTACAGCTGGAAAACCATATATACGTGATACTTTGTAAAATTATAGATCTTGATTTATCTTTTTATTAAAGATACATTTATTGGCTTCTTTTAAAATATATATTGTCTTGGTACACTGTATGATTTCTGTTTATCTGGGGAAATTATTAATGAATATTTAGTTTTATTTTGTTTCTTGCCACAAACTGATACTGGAATGAATGTTCTTATAAATGTTTTCTTGAGTACATTTGTTAGTACTTCTCTAGAATAAATATAGAAGTGGAATTACAAGGTGTGACCTAGTTACATTTTTTGTTTTGATAATTTCCATTTTGCCTTCAAATAGTCATACACTTTTACCATCATTTTGTGAATATGTCTGTTTCCCCATATCTTTCCCTACCAGTGATGTTATCACGTGAAAGTTCTCATGGATGATAATATGATTTCTTTTTTTTTTGAGACAGAGTCTCGCTCTGTTGCCAAGCTGGAGTGCAGTGGCACGATCTCAGCTCACTACAACCTCTGTCTCCCGGGTTCAAGAGATTATCCTGCCTCAGCCTCCCGAGTATCTGGGACTACAGGCGCATGCCACCACGCCCGGCTAATTTTTCTATTTTTAGTAGAGACAGAGTTTCACCTTATTGACCAGGATGGTCTTGATCTCTTGACCTCGTGATCTGCCCGCCTCGGCCTCCCAAAGTGCTGGGAATACAGGTGTGAGCTACTACACCTGGCCGATAATACAGTTTCTAATTAATTTGTATTTCCCTAGTTCCTAGTGAGGTTAAATGTGTTTGCATATTTATTACGTATTTGTGCATCCTTTTTGCTGAAAAGCCTCTTTGTATTTTTGCATTTCTCTCTTGAGTTGTCTTGATTGATTTATAGTTCTCTTTTTCTTTTTCCAAGAGACGGAGTCTTGCTCTGTTGCCTAGGCTGGAGTGTGGTGGCTCTGTTATAGCTCACTTCAGCCTCCAACTCCTTGGCTCAAGCAGTTCTCCCACCTCAGCCTCTTAACTAGCTAGGACTGCAGGAGCAAGCCACAGTGCCTGGCTAAGTTTTAAATTTTTTTTACAGAGTATGGAGCTTGCTATGTTGCCCAGCTGGTCTCAAACTTCTGGGCTCAAGCGGTCCTCTTGCTTTGGCCTCCTAAAGTGCTGGAATTAGACGTGAGCCATCATACCTGTCTTTTCTTTTTTTAAGTATCAAATTCTTATGTATGTTGCTTAGGTCAGTACATAGTCAGCATTTATATTTGGTCAAACTGTGTGAAATTGTTAACATTGAGCTGTTTGAAGTAAAGAATTCCCATTTCATTTAGTTCAGCCCAGTATTATATATTTTTCCCAATTATTTGCACGTACTTTATTTTTATGTAATCACTTTTGTTAATATACTGTGGCTTCATTGAGTCTTACTTTAAAAGGCTCCTGTTGATTATGTGAATGTTTAAACTCTTTTTTTAGGACTTGATTTCATCTGAAATCAGTTTATTTTTGTCATAGGGATTTAATTTTTCTACATTTGTGGACAGTTGTCCCAACACCATTTATTAAATGTTGTGTTTCTTCTCCAACAGTTTTGGAATGCTACTTTTATAATAAATTTTGCTATTATAGATGTATGTCTTCATTTTTGATTTTATTACATTAATCTATGTGGTTTTCCTGTGGTAATGCTATTCTAGTTTTAATTACTAGGTTTTTGTAATATTTTGGTATCTGTTAGAGCAGGTTGTCATTGTTTTTGAAGTTGCATTGCCTCTTCTTATACTATTCTCTTACAGATGCTTTCCAGAATCATTCTTATGCTCTTGATTTTTTATTTTAATGACATATAGTCTCCGGAGTAGAGATGAAGAGAGAATTTCTAAGCCTGGGGCTGTCTCAACTCCTGTAAAGCATGCTGATGATCACACACCTAAAACAGTGGAAGAAGTTACAGTTGAAAGAAACGAGAAACAAACACCTTCTCTTCCAGGTGAGCATAACAAAACACTTAAGTTCAAGAAATGTTTGCCATTAGAGTAAAGTAATTGTTAGGATTTACAGAAGATTTTAAAGATGCAATTATTATTGTTCTCATGTGTGAATTTGTCTGCATATGACTTCCAGCGTTTTCCTTATGGGTAGCAGGTTGGCACAAATCAGTAGCCTTTCATGAATGTTATCCTTTACTTTCTAGATGGAAAATGTTTATCGTTAACAACTTCTTGCAATTAAGAAAGTTGTTTTCCAACACTGCTCTTTAAAGAGAAATATGAAATTGACTTCAAAAAATTAAAAAAAAAAGTTATTTTGCTTTTTTGAAAGTGTTTTCATAAACATCTTATTGATTATACCTTTATTTATTTATGGTTTTTTGTTTGGGTTTTTTTTTTTTTTTTTTTTGAGACAGAATCTCACTCTGTCACCCAGCTGGAGTGCAGTGGTGTGATTAGCTCACTATAACCTCAAAATTCCTGGGCTCCAGCTGTCTTTCCACCTGATCCTCCCTGCTACAGGTGTGCACCACCACACCTGGCTCTTTTGGGTTTTCTGGTTTCTTTGTGGGGTGTTTTTTTGGGAGAGATGGAATCTTGCTTTGTTGTCCAGGTTGGTCTCCAACTCCTGGCCTCAAACAGTCCTCTCACTTCGGCTTCCTAGAGTGTTGGGATTACAGGCGCAAGCCGCTGTGTCCAACCCAAGAATCCTTTTCAGGCTGTCTGTGAAGACAGAACAGAACAATCAGCAGGTGCTAAGATCGGCTGCCTGGGAGGCCTGGAGATTCTGTTTCTGATGTCTTTCACTTCCTTCTCTCAAATCATCTTTCTTGCTCTGCTTGCTTAGTGGCAGAAATATGGTTATTGAAAACCAAATTTTAGCATAATGAGGAAAGGTAGCTACTTGGGTAGTCTTAACGGGGAAATGGAGGAATTCTCTCTTCTCATCTATTTTTGTTATTCGTTCCTAAAGAATAGATTTTTCAAATTCTGATTGCTGGAACTATGGAAAACACAGGTGACTGTGTAACATACCTACTTGTTATAAAGACTTCAGAATTTATTACCATAAAATGTACTCTAATACATGTGGTAGATATGTTCCTCATCAGGTTCTCTGAACTTATGAATCATATATTGCCTGGTTGCTTGCATTATTATTCCATGTTTTTCTAAAGTGAGTCCTACCCAATTTTTTTTTTCTTAGAACCAAAGCCTGTGTATGCCCAGGTTGGGCAGCCAGATGTGGATTTACCTGTCAGTCCATCAGATGGTGTCCTACCTAATTCAACTCATGAAGATGGGATTCTTCGGTAATACAATTTTAAAGTTGTATTGTTTTCTTTGTTCATTGTTAGGCATTATTTAGAGTAGGAATTTAATTGTAAACCATATTGCATATATTTTTTAAAATAGTACATACCACCTAATACTATGATTAGTTTTTTTATTTAACATTCTGCTACTTATATATGATAGTCAGTTAGAAATTAGACAACAGAAGAAATTTTTGGATGCATTCTTTCTCACCACTGTCTCCTGCCTAGTTTTTAAGTTAGGAATTAGAAAAAAAAAATTTCTATTCAGACATCAGAATTTCCACAGCTTTCCAATGGAGCATTAAAAAAAAAAAATTGTGTTTCTCAATCTCAGCACTAGTGGCATTTTGGGCCAGGTAAGCGTTTATTGTGAGGGGCTGTCCTGTGTATTGTGGCATGTTTAGCAACATTCCTGGCCGCTAGATGCCAATAGCAGTTCCCTAATTGTGACAATTAGAATTCTCTCTGGACATTGCCAGATGTTTCCTTGGGGGCAGAATCATGGTTGAGATTGTTTGAGAACCTGTTCTAGGGTAGTTAGCAACTCAAAAGTAAGTTTTTGCTGTCTTAACACCTTTCATTACTTTACATTTTATACTTGGTAGAATTGAGATGTAAATTTGTAAACAAATTTCAAACCATCATGATCATCAAATTAGTATTTTGTTTGTTTGGTTAGTTTTTTTTTTTTTTTTTAACAGGGTCTTGCTCTGTCTCCCAGGCTGGAGTGCTGTGGTACGATCTCGGCTCACTGCAACCTCTGCCTCTCGGGCTCAAACAGTCCTCCCACCTCAGCCTCCTGAGTAGCTGGGACGAAAGGACCCATACCACCACACCTAGCTAATTTTTGTATTTTTAGTAGAGATGAGGTTTCACCATGTTGCCCAGACTGGTCTAAAACTCCTGGGCTCAAGCAGTCCACCAACCTCAGCTTCCCGAAGTGCTGGGATTACAGATGTGAGCCGCCATGCCCAGCCCGAATTAGTTTTTTATTGGCGCCGGTAAAGGGGACATGATGTGAATAATTGAAAATTGGCAGATTTCCTCAAATGGGTTGGATCTGGACCCCTGACACTCATATTTTCATTGCTAAAGAAAATTGAGTGGTTGTCTTAGACCCAGCTAGGTAGATAGAAGTAGTTTCTGAAAGAGATGGGGCTTTTACAAGTTTAAAATTGTACAATTTTAATATTAGGTAACTGATAATTGAACCTTTTATAAATTGTGAAGGCATAGGTAGTCCCCTTCTTTTTCCTTTCTTGGGAATTGCTTGAAAATTTGCATAAGTGTTTAAGGTTTAGGAAACCGTAATGATAAGATTCCAGAGACGGGCCGGGCGCGGTGGCTCACGCCTGTAATCCCAGCACTTTGGGAGGCCAAGGCGGGTGGATCACGAGGTCAGGAGATCGAGACCATCCTGGCTAACACGGTGAAACCCCGTCTCTACTAAAAATACAAAAATTAGCCACGCATGGTGGCATGCGCCTGTAGTCCCAGCTACTCAGGAGACTGAGGAAGGAGAATGGCATGAACCCGGGAGGCCGAGCTGGCAGTGAGCCAAGATGGCGCCACTGCCCTCCAGCCTGGGTGACAGAGCAGGACTCCATCTCAAAAAAAAAAAAAAAGAAAGAAAGAAAGAAAAATTCCAGAGACCTCCTTCCCTGGGAGAACAAATACCAAAGAGGATTTGTGGATGTGGGCAGGATTAGTAGCTGTGCCAGGAAAGGTTTGGTTTTTCATTTAAAGCCAATGAATGGATTTGATGCAGAAGTTAGTGAGTCTGTTTTGCTATTGCAAGTAGTTAATATAATGCAGGCAGGACAAAGTATAAAATGTCAGTCATCAAAGGCACATGACACTGTTGGTGAGATTTGGCCTAAAGTTGTCTTCTAACACTGGTTTTCAGAAGCCAGGTTTTACTAAAGGGTGGATACTGTGCTCAGTTTTTTTACTTTCTGAAGCACGTTAGATTGGTCAGGGTTAGAAGAGGATTTCCAAAGACCTATAGTCTTTTGTTTTTGTTTTTGTTTTGTTTTGTTTTAAAGAGGGCCTCACTCTGTCACCCAGGCTAGAGTATAATGGTGCGATCATTGTTCACCATAACCTCAAACTCCTAGGCTTGAGGAATCCTCCCACCTCAGCCTTCGAAGTAGCTAGGACTACAGGCAACGAGCCACGAAACCCAGCTAATTTATTTTTTTGTTTTTTGTTTTGTTTTGTTTTCTAGTAGAGACAGGATCTTGCTGTGTTGATCAGGGCTGGTAACAAACTCCTAGGCTCAAGCAGTTCTCCTGCCTCAGTCTCCCAAAGTGCTGGGATTATAGCTTGAGCTACCACACCCAATTAGACCTGAAGTCTTAAGGACTTCGAGGAAATGTTTAAAGAGCTTTCAGTACAGTGGGTTTAGGAGAGGAATCTATGAGAATGCTTTTGACCTGGCTAGGATACCACTACAAGCAAGGGACTTGGACCATTTGTAGTAAAGCTGGTAAATAGTTTCATGGAGGGATCAAGGATGCCACCAGCCAGTGAGAGACCTCATCTGATTCTCAGGCTCTTACTGTTATGACAAGTTGATGTTAGTTCCAGGTCAGGTCACCCAATCAGAAGTGAATAAATAGTAAGTTCTGAAAGTTAAGATGGTCTCTTTAGTTGGCTTAAAGAGACTAGAAATCTCTCCTTCCTCAGCACATTCATTCATTTATTTGACTTGTGTTTTTTTGTTATCTGTTAGTTTCTAACAATTTGGTTATTACATAATAAAGACTATAGGGATTTTTTTCTACACGTCTTGTCAGAATAGGTAAAATAGTGTATTTTCTTGGCTAGGAATGTGGGAGTACTTATGAATACCTAGAAAGGAAATATTGTGGGTAATTTTTAATTACAGTCTGTTTCTGTCCAGTCAATTCTTATAAGGCATCTTTTAGTATTTGTTTGGAGGAGTGTCACAAGGTTTCAACACTACACTGATGCTAGAGGTGGGTGTGTATGCATTATTTTTTTTCCATTCTGAGAACTAGAAAGGGACAGAGATTGGATGTGGGGCTAATCTAGAAAGGCTGAATGACTATATGATTTGTATTGTAAAACTCAGAGGGGCAGCCAAGTAAGTTAACTACTGTCAACTACTGAAAGAGTCCACCAACTGCAAAGTTTTTTTAAAAAGCACTATCTATTGCATGTAGAAATCACAATGCTTGGAGCCTTATTTTGACCCATCGTGTCAGGAAAATTAGCCAATTTATAGTTCAATTTCTACCTTTATTTTTAAAAATTTGACTTTTCAGTTATTTAATAGAAATGATGTGTGATTTGGGGTAGAAAAAATGGAAGATGTTTTTAGCCATTGGGAATGTACTGTGTATTCCCAAGACTCTTTGAGTTGAGAGTTGAGAGAACATTGTTTTACAAAGTAATTTTATAAATTAGTTATGTAAAATAATACTTGCATATTAAATTTGAATATTCCAAAACTTTGTTAATCAGAAAATAGTGTTATTAAGTCTGGTTTGAATTCTAACACTAAATTTTACTTAGTAAATCAATGGTGTGTGAGAAATTTTAGAAATGATGTTTCTTTATTAAATTTTGAATGTAGTTTTCACTCTAGTGTTTGCTATAATGTTTTAAGCTCTTCTTAACTGTTTCAAATGAAATATCTGTTTTAACAGACCCAGCATGAAATTGGTAAAATTCAGAAAAGGAGATAGTGTGGGATTGCGACTGGCTGGTGGAAATGATGTTGGAATATTTGTAGCTGGCGTTCTAGAAGATAGCCCTGCAGCCAAGGAAGGCTTAGAGGAAGGTGATCAAATTCTCAGGGTACGTCAGTATTGCAACTTACATGGGTTAGAAAGTACTTGGATCACCAGAAAAAGGTATCAAACAACAAGCTTATTACTGTAATTAGATTGTAATCTGTATGCAGTCTCCATTAAGCCAATTAAACTTTCAAGTCAGAATCCATCAGGTCTACCTTATGCGTAACTTCTCACTTCCTATTCTTGTATCTTGCTCTTGTTTACTGCTATATTATGTGTTAGTAAAGAATATGACATTTCATTTCTACCACTAGTGTTCACAGAAATAGAAGAAAATAAGTCTTATATCCCGATGATAATATCTACCAGGTAGTCTTTGGAAGTTCAACTAAACGTTCAGACTGGCAAGACTCTGCCATGGGCCACAACTTGCCAGCAAGCAACATCCGGTGTTCCACTCCCATGTGAGTCATCTTGAAGCAGTCCGCACAGCCTCTGGGACCTTCTTAACCCCAGATAATGGCTCAGGCACAGGGAGATGGAATTCACCTTAAAGGCAGATGTGTAAGCTGCCTGGCTTTGAAACTTCATGCTCCACAAGAGACAGGATCTGTTACACAAATCAGCAAAGCCCAGGTTAGATGCAGATTATCAAGAGAGTCTATAGAGTCCCTTCCTTCCTTCCCCATAAACAGTGTCATCTAGTGACATAGTACCATCTTCATCTGTCTCCTGTTTCTTTTTAAAATATCCAAACCTCCATTTGATTTGCTAGATTAAACTATGTCCCATTTTAATCAGAAGGTATCTGTCCGTTGTAGGCTCCTGTATTTATTCTGCTTCTCCACCACAAAGTCTTTACCGTGGCCTCTCTGTTCTGGTCTCTCTCTGTATTCAGCCTGCCTCTTGCCAGTGTCCTGGATTCAGCCCCCGTCTGCTGCAGAATCTTGTAGCTTTGTTCACTTTCTTCTCTTTCTGTCTCCCGTGGTTCTTCATCTGTCTTCCACTGTCTCATTTGTCCTGTTTTGCTGTTGAACTTGTTGAAGGATGTGGTTGAGGCCCTTGCCTGTTTTCTTGTCAGTCATTGTGGTCATATAGTTTTACAGCCTGGCTTCCACCTTCACCACTACTGAAGCTCAGTTTTCAATAAACCATGGCTGAGCTAATGTCATCCTCAAGCCTCATTTTCCTTTATTTTTTAGCAGCGTTTTGACTGTCTTAATCTTTTTTGAAGTACTTTCTTCCTCAGATTCCATAATACTGCCATTCTGGTACTCTAATTTTTTTATTCTTTTCCTGCCTTCTTTACTGATACTTTTAAAACTTGGGGAATGTTGGTTATTCTCTGCTTCTCTTGCTATACTGCCTCTTTCTTGGGTTTGGTTGCTCAAGTGAGCAGCTCACGATCAAAATCTTTTCACTCTGAGCGATTTCCTGAACCCTGTCCTTTGCTCATTAAATCCTCCTCTTTTTCCCTTCAAACTTAGCATGTCAAAAAGTCAAGGCATCATCGTGACTTCAGACCTATTTCCATCTGATCTGATATGGTGATTCTTTCTGAAGATGTTTACATAGTTGTCAATCAAGTTATGTCAAAAACATTTAAATACAACATGTATAATAATGTTCACTATACCAAGGAAATTAAAGAGACCTTTTTTCTTACCTACCTCTTAATCCTGTTTTGAAATAATCAGGGCATACATTTTTTAAATGTGTCTTTTTTTTTTTTTTTCTTAAGACAGTGCCTCACTGTCACCCAGACTGGAATGCAGCGGTGTGATCATGGCTCACTGCAGCCTTAAACACCTGGGCTCAAACGTTCTTCCCCTCAGCCTCCTGAGTAGCTGGGACCACAGGCATTCACCACCACACCTGGCAAATTTTTGTATTTTTTGTGGAGACAGGGTTTCACCACATGGCCTAGACTGGTCTCAAACTCCTGGGTTCAAGCGATCCAACTACTTTGGCCTCCCAGAGTGCTGGGATTACAGACATGAGTCACTGCGCCTGGCTAAAAAATGTTTCTTAATAGTTCAGTTTTGTTTTGTATCATAAAAGTGGTGCATGTCAGATTTTTTTTGTTTGTGGGCTTTTTGGCTTTTTTTTTTTTTTTTTTTTTTAATCTGGAAAATTTCCAAAAGGTGGAAGAAGAAAACCTGCCTGTAATCCTGCACAGAGTCACTGGTGACATTTTGGTAAGTCCATTTTGGCATTTAGAATCTTCTAATGGAAGTGAACATTTACTGGCAGACACTGAGCCTGCGTTACACAGATGCTGTTACAGGGACGCCACAGCGCAGACTGTCTTTTTAAGCCCATTTTCTTTTGATTTTTCTTCTCAGCAACTTGTAAAAAAGTTATCTTTTTTCATCTAAATTGGTTAAATTTTACAACAGATTAATGTCAGGGCACACTGAATCTGTTTAAATAAATTTATGCCTTCAACTCACTTTATTTACTTTCTGTTTTTTTAAAATTAGAGGGTATTCTTTTCTCCACAGTAAAATAAGTTTTTTCCTCTTAAAGACGTGATATTTTCGGCCGGGGGCGGTGACTCACGCCTGTAATCCCTGCACTTTAGGAGGCCAAAGCGGGCGGATCTCCTAAGGTCAGGCGTTCGAGATCAGCCTGCCCAACATAGCAAAACCCCGTCTCTACTAAAAATATAAAAAAATTAGCTGGCCGTGGTGGTGGGTATCTGTAATCCCAGCTACCCGGGAGGCTGAGGCAGGAGAATCGCGAATCGCTTGAATCTGGGAGGTGGAGGTTGCGGTGAGCCAAGATCGTGCCACTGCACTCCGGCCTGGGCAACAGAGGGAGACTCTGTCTCAAAAAAAAAAAAAAAGAGTGATATTTTCAAATTAGGTAGACTGAGAGTATCTGTGTATGTTATTTTCATATTCTTAAACAGCCAAGAATGATTTATGAAATCTTATTTTAATAGGTAAACAACGTAGATTTTACAAATATCATAAGAGAAGAAGCCGTCCTTTTCCTGCTTGACCTCCCTAAAGGAGAAGAAGTGACCATATTGGCTCAGAAGAAGAAGGATGGTGAGATGCTGTCAGAAAATGAAGGAGATAAGTGGAGTTTAAGGACTTACAAAGGGATTTATTCCATTTTTTAAAAATAAGTCACTCAAAGTTGAGTGATGAATGAATTTGTTAATCTCAGAGAAAGTTACATATTCTAAGTCATTTAGGGGCACAGAATTTCAGATGATTCTCATTAGCAGAGCATGCTAATAGGACTAACCTTTATAGTATTCTTATTTAAATAAAATGCCGTCCAACCCTATACAAGTGATAGAAAGTGTTGATTGATTAGCCATCAGAACCATACAAAAGTATATGAGCAGCTTTCAAATTTTGTGCTGATGTTTCTTTTTTTTTTTTTTTTTGAGACAGAGTCTCGCTCTGCCGCCCAGGCTGGAGTGGCGTGATCTTGGCTCACTGCAAGCTCCGCCTCCCGGGTTCATGCCATTCTCCTGCCTCAGCCTCCCGAGTTGCTGGGACTACAGGCGCCCGCCACCTCGCCCGGGTAGTTTTTTTGTATTTTTTAGTAGAGACGGGGTTTCACCGTGTCAGCCAGGATGGTCTCGATCTCCTGACCTCGTGATCCGCCCGTCTCGACCTCCCAAAGTGCTGGGATTACAGGCTTGAGCCACCGCGCCCGGCCTGTGCTGATGTTTCTAAGCAACACACTCAGTTGTTTATTAGCATTAATTCAAGAGAAAACTCCATTTTTTCTGTAATAAAGTAGATACAGTTTTCACTAAGAGCCAGGGTTCTCAGCCTTGGCACTGTTGACATTTTGGACCAAATAATGTGGTTTTAGGGGTTGTCCTGTGTATTGTGGATATTTAGGAGCATTCCTAACCTCTGCTCACTAGATGAGATGCCACTAGCACACACCCCCTACCCTTTCAATACACAGATGGGACAGTCAGAACTACATATTGGCAAATGTCCAGTGTTGGATGGCGGGGGATAAAATTACCTTTATTTGAGAACTGCTGATTTAGATATGGAAATATCTATAATGTTTGCAGATAAGTTAGATGATATAATAGAAAACAAGCATGTGGCTTTTGACAAGTTACTTGATGTATTTTCTGCATTAATTTCCTAATCTGCAAAATGGACATACTAAGAGTTTCAGTTCTTACAGTGATGAATACATGAAATAAAATACTTAATACAGTACCCGGCATGTAGTAAGAATTTGTTGGATACTGTTGTTGATATTATCATAGCATCTTTACATAATATACTCTTTGAGATTGTTATCCCACTAAATATTGATAATGTGTTTGTTTTTGTTCCTTTTAGTTTATCGTCGCATTGTAGAATCAGATGTAGGAGATTCTTTCTATATTAGAACCCATTTTGAATATGAAAAGGAATCTCCCTATGGACTTAGTTTTAACAAAGGAGAGGTGTTCCGTGTTGTGGATACCTTGTACAATGGAAAACTGGGCTCTTGGCTTGCTATTCGAATTGGCAAAAATCATAAGGAGGTAGAACGAGGCATCATCCCTAATAAGAACAGGTAGGAATGCTTGGATACTTCTCATAGAGTGAATCAAGTAAATGATGATAGATAATTTCAATCCCACTGGGAAATTTTGGTAATGTAAAGAATTATTTTTCATTGTATTCGTATCTATAACTGGCTTAGCTTTACAAACTCCTCTTTATTATAACCATTAAGATTTAAACTGCATGTGAACTTCTATCCAGTATTGTACATTTCATTTCATTGTGGGTCTTTTTCCATTTTGCATTTTAAATGCCCTTACTTTAATTTTCTCCTTTCTTGTGTAGAGCTGAGCAGCTGGCCAGTGTACAGTATACACTTCCAAAAACAGCAGGGGGAGACCGGGCTGACTTCTGGAGATTCCGAGGTCTTCGCAGCTCCAAGAGAAATCTTCGAAAAAGCAGAGAGGATTTGTCTGCTCAGCCTGTTCAAACAAAGTTTCCAGCTTATGAAAGAGTGGTTCTTCGAGAAGGTAGTTTATTTTCTACAGACTAACCTAATACCCTTTAACGTCAATATGTTTAAGAAAGAAAAGGTATAAAATATGCTGTTTTTCGTGTGAATTTCTTTCCAGCTGGATTTCTGAGGCCTGTAACCATTTTTGGACCAATAGCTGATGTTGCCAGAGAAAAGCTGGCTAGAGAAGAACCAGATATTTATCAAATTGCAAGTAAGTAGCTTCAGGGCTAACTTAAATGAGGTTGGGAGTTACACCTCTAAAGTGAGTGAGTTCTGATTCACTCAATACAAATAAGACTTTTTGTCAGTGAAAAATTGCAGTTTATCCCATTCTTTTAATTTGGTGAGAAAACCCCAGTGACCATGTCCTTGTTCCACCAATTCTTTTAATGAGAAAAAATCACTGTTTAGGAAACTCTTGGCTTCATATGAAAATTGGGTAACATACAATGTCGTGGAATCCTCACAGTCATGCTCTGAGGTAAGGAGTATAATATCCATGTTACAGTTGAGCAGCCTGAGACTTGGATGGTGATTGTGTGGATCCTTACCAGTTTCTTCAGTCTAAACTTCCTGGTGACCCTCAGTGAACGAGTGACAAGACTCGGCTTTGACCATGACCCTTTCTTGCTCCATTCCAGCTCTTAGAGTCATTAAACTGACAAATACACAAATAGTTGAAAAGGGTAATAAAACAGTGCTACTGTTATCAGCTGTTATTATTGCAGACATTTATAACAAGGTAGTAAGTATAAGTATTGAGGTTGCAGTGCTTTGTTTGCCAAATACGTTTTGCTTACAGATCCTTGTTTTATTTACTTTATTTTTTTAGAGACAGAGTCTCACTCTTGCCCAGGCTGGAGTGCAGTGGTTAGATCATTGCTCACTGTAGTCCCAAACTCATGGGTTCAAGCAATCCGCCCACCTCAACCTTCCAAGCAGCTAGGACTACAGGCGTGTGCCAACACGCCTAGCTAGTTTATTATTATTATTATTATTATTATTTTTGTAGAAACGGGGTCTTCCTTTGTTGTCTAGGCTGACCGTGAGCTCTTGGGCTCAAGTGATCTCTGGCCTTGGCCTCCCCAAGTGCTGGGATTACCGGTATGAGCCACTGCACCCGGTTTTGTTTCATTTTTAAACTGTTTTTGTAATTATAAAAGTGCCATTCTCTGTTTCGAAAACTTGGAAAATTAATTTTTACACATATCACCACCGTATATTTTATTCCATTGTATTTTTTCCACTCTTTTAAGCATATTTTGGCAAAGTTTTATTTATACTGTTTAGAAAAGTTTATATCCTATTTTCCTTTTTCATAGGTAATGGCATATTTTCATTTTATTATTCTGCAATTTTTGGTTCATTTAGCCTTTTTTATATCGTTTGTTTCAAATTTATATTACTATTACAAAAGATACAGATATCTGTCCATATTTTGTTTGCTTGTTTATGCCCTGCTTTGTTTCCCAAAGGATTTAAATCCTTTGTAGCTGTTCCCATAATTATGATGAAGTTCCTGCTTTCCAGAGACTTGTGCTGGGGATTTTGTTCCCACTGGCACTATATGACCCTCAGTAAGTTGTTGTTTTTTGTTTGTTTGTTTGTTTGTTTGAGATGGAGTCTTGCTCTGTCACCTAGGCCGGAGTGCAGTGGCGCAATCTCAGCTCACTGCAAGCTCTACCTCCTGGGTTCACGCCATTCTCCTGCCTCTGCCTCCTGAGTAGCTGGGACTACAGGCACCTGCCACCACGCCCAGCTAATTATTTTTTTTTTTAAAGTAGAGACGGGGTTTCACCGTGTTAGCCAGGACGGTCTCAATCTCCTGACCTCGTGATCTGCCCGCCTCGGCCTCCCAAAGTGCTGGGATTACAGGTGTGAGCCACTGTGCCCAGCTGACCCTCAGTAACATCTTTAAACTGCACAGTGTTACTTTAAAGAATCAGAACATCGTCTTTTCTTTAATACATTGCTTTTCATTTGATTGCCAATTAAATTGAATAAGGATATTTATTTTCTGAACATCAGAAGATTTGCAGACAAATGATTTGAGTAAAATCTGAGCAAGTTAGAAAATGTTTATTTCTATCTTTTTAGTTTATTCAGAAGAGGTTTTGTTTTGTTTTGTTTTGTTTGAGACAAGGTTTTACTCTGTTGCCCAGGTTGGAGTGCACTGATGTGATCTCAGCTCACTGCAACCTCTGCCTTCTGGGTTCAAGCGATTCTCCTGTCTCAGCCTCCCCTAGTGGCTGGGATTACAGGCACCTCCCACTGCGCCTGGCTAAGTTATCTGTAGATGACATTTCACCTGAAGAAGTTGGTGGTGACCCTTATCCATAACCAAATGTAGGATTTTTAGATTTGGGAAAAGCAAGTATGATGACTTACAAAGCTCTGCCTTAAAGGGTAATACATTGGTTTAATCAGGTTTACTCCACAAAGAGGAATTCAGGTAGCTTAGTTGTATATCTTCTTTGAATCTAATGACAGTCTTTTGAATTGAGGAGTTAGTCACATTTTTTTTCCAGCCAGAATTCCCAGTTGGTCTTTCTTCTTAATTCTCCAGTGTTCACTAGATTTGAAATTCTGCCCTGCTTGCCCATGGTGCTTTGTCTTATGGTAGTCTCATTCTCTAAAACCATTTATCTTGACCATCAGTGTGACTTGTCTTTCCAGATCTCTGCCTTTGTCTGATCTCTGAAACACCAAAGCTCTTCCTTTCCTTTCAAACTTTCCTTGTGACCACAGTCACAAACGTTGCTGTGCTCTGAGATGGTGGTTGGAAACCAGTCCAAGCTGCATTTGGCACATTATACACCAGTGAAGACAGGTTGCCAGGATGAAGCCATAGGTTGTCTCACAGTTACAGATGAACAACTCCCTGCCCCTAGGTTCCCCTTCTACTGATGTAACTAAGATCTCTAACCGAGAACTCCCTAGGCAATCTGCTATAGCACCATTACTGATGGTTGATGGACATGCCAAGGTATTGACCTCTTCAGCCAGTAGTGGCTGGTTAGAGCTTGGCAAAGGAGCAGCCTCCTCAGTTTATCTCAGTGTGCCATACAAGTAATATTTTCTCTGGATGTTACAGTGTGAAAAGGGGTGGGAGGTAGTGCCGTGTTGAGCCATGTTAGAGCCCCAGGCAAAAGAAAACAATGTGCATTCCTATATATTTTTTCTTCTTTAATGGCTAATTTTTTTCCAGACTATTAAAGTAGTTGGAAAAATAGTGAAAAAAAAAATGAGAAGTGTGCATATTAAAACTTACTTTAAGTACTGCATGCATAAGACAGTTTCCACAAACAAAGTACTGTCCAGCCCGGCATATCAGTGGTGGCCAGCAGTTGAGAAACTCTGATCTAACCAATGAAAATTTGATGTCTTATTTTTGTCCTGACATAATGAATAGAGAGTGAACCACGAGACGCTGGAACTGACCAACGTAGCTCTGGCATTATTCGCCTGCATACAATAAAGCAAATCATAGATCAAGTAAGTTATTAAAATTTGGCCTATTTCATTATGTTATTGTGGTTTTGAGTGGGATGGGATTTGGTTAATTTGAAAGTAGAAGGTAGTTTTTCTAAGACTATTACTGACATACTATAAGAAAATTAAGCCCTTACTGAAAAGCATTATAATAATTACTTTCTTTTTTTTTTTTTTTTTTTGAGACGGAGTCTCGCTCTGTCGCCCAGGCTGGAGTGCAGTGGCCGGATCTCAGCTCACTGCAAGCTCCGCCTCCCGGGTTCACGCCATTCTCCTGCCTCAGTCTCCCGAGTAGCTGGGACTACAGGCGCCCGCCACCTCGCCCGGCTAGTTTTTTGTATTTTTTAGTAGAGATTGGGTTTCACCGTGTTAGCCAGGATGGTCTCGATCTCCTGACCTCGTGATCCGCCCATCTCGGCCTCCCAAAGTGCTGGGATTACAGGCTTGAGCCACCGCGCCCGGCCATAATAATTACTTTCAAGGGAATAGTTACTGTAGGCATCAGAAGATGATTTTTCATTACCAGAAAACAAGTGTATGATGTTTAGATGTAATTAACAGACTGCTTATATATTACATCAGTACAATTCAAGTTGTAGTTTGATATTTACATTCGTAAGGAATGTCAGGAACATTAAATTCTTAAACTTATTTTTTTCTAACTGCACACGGATAATACTGTCAGATGGCGGTGTTAGGGCTAAGTCTTAAAAGTGAACTTCATAGAAAGGTTTTTAGAAATTTGGCTAGAAATGGAATTGAATTAACTTAAAATTAGTTTTTTAATATGTGCTCCTGAGACATTAGAATACAATTAAAGATCCGTTACCACTGAAATTTTGTTTGTTTTTGTTTTTGAGGTAGGGTCTTGCTCTGTCACCCAGGCTGGACTGCAGTGGCGTGATCTCGGCTCACTGTAGCCTCCACCTCTCAGGTTCAAGCGATTCTTGTGCCTCAGCCTCTGAAGTAGCTGGGATTACAGGCGTGCACCACCGTGCTTTGCTAGTTTTTGTATTTTTAGTAGAAACAGGGTTTCTCCATACTGCCCAGGCTGGTCTCGAACTCCTGGCCTCAAGTGATTCACCCACCTCGACCTCCCGAAGCGCTAGGATTATAGGCATAGCGTGAGCCACCGCACCCAACTGAATGTGATGATTCTTAATGAATGATGTCTTGTGTCTTTGTATATACTTTGCTTTCTTTTTCTAGGACAAACATGCTTTATTAGATGTAACACCAAATGCAGTTGATCGTCTTAACTATGCCCAGTGGTATCCAATTGTTGTATTTCTTAATCCTGATTCTAAGCAAGGAGTAAAAACAATGAGAATGAGGTTATGTCCAGAATCTCGGAAAAGTGCCAGGAAGTTATATGAGCGATCTCATAAACTTCGTAAAAATAATCACCATCTTTTTACAAGTGAGTATGTTAATAAAGGCCTTCTTTCAGCTTACAATGCCTGGGCAACATTAAGTAGGCCAAAATGTTACAATGTTCAAATACTAAAACTTACACAATCTTTTCTTGGAAAGTTTCCTGTTGTGTTAACAGCTGCTGTTTGGTTAAAAGAAAATATACAGTAGCAAAATAGAAATTTCAGATGTTTGCATCCTCAGATACCATCTTTCAGTAATGACGATTTAGCTGTAAGCAGGGTTGAATTCTTCTGACTTTTGGCAGTGCTCTAACCATAAAACTACATCGTTAATTTATTTTCAGCTACAATTAACTTAAATTCAATGAATGATGGTTGGTATGGTGCACTGAAAGAAGCAATTCAACAGCAGCAAAACCAGCTGGTGTGGGTTTCTGAGGGAAAGGTAAGACATTTCCTGTTACGTTTTTGACTTGTTCAGTAAACTATGTAACTAATCAGAGATGCTTTTGAGGTACCAGTGCTTTCTAATTAGATCAACATTTTGGAGAAATTTAGGGAAAGTTAGCTTTTAGGTTTTTATAATTTGTGTGTAGGGGTTATGAAAGTTGTTTCTGATGGTAAGAGAATTCTTAAATTTTCTCACCTGTTGAATTACCACTACAGTAGGATTGTCTCCTAAAGAATCTCAAATTATAATGAAGAGCAGGTTGAGTTCTGATGCTGCCCCTGTCTGGCTATGAATGACGACTTTGAGCCTGGCTTCAGTTTCCTCCTCTGAAAATGAGGGGATTTGGAGGCCTAGATGAGCATCTCCCAAAGTGCTGTCCTCAGCATTCTCAATTCAGGACTTGCTCTGAGAGAGAAGGCACTGTGAAGGCAAGCAGCAGGTGGGAAGTAAACCCTAGACCCCTTCAGGAGTATCCTGGTACCCACTGGCATTGAAAGGCTCTGAGACATCTTAAAGTTAAAAAGCCCACTACATGCATTTCCTCACATTTATTTTTCACTCAACACCTATTAACATTCTTACAACATACTGGGAGATATTGAACAAAGTACTAGATCCTTCCTGGCTTTGAATTTTGTTTTCTATATGTCCAAATGGCCAGCTTTAAAATAACTACTTTTTATTGTCAGTCTTTCTGGTTTTATAGCAATCTTTGATGGGAAGGTCTATTTATTTTGCCTGGAGAGTTAATCATTTCCTCCTAGTACACCATTGAAGGAAGCTTTTTTTTTTTTTTTTTAAATGTCTTTTACCTTTTTCAGATCAGTGCAATAAGTTTTGGTTATTAGGGAAGATTGAGAATATCTCTGGTTTTTATTTTGTTTTTTGTACTTCTTGTTGGTTTGGTTTTTGTTGTGTTTTGCCCCCGCATGGTCCCTCTCTTCCTCTGCCTGGCTGTGGCTACAGATGGCTCTGAGAGTGCATGCTGCATGCTTAGGACCCCCCGTGTCCCTACCCAGACATACACAGCCTCTGCAAGGAGAGCTATTAACACTGAGAGGCAGTGTCTATTGTTCTCACCTATAGTAAGGTGTCAGAACTATGGTTTTTCTCTTTGTGAACCAGTCTGGGGGATGGACCATGTATATAAGAGCCTAAGACCACTCTGAATAACGTCATCTGGAACTTGATAGGAAAATGAAGGTGGAAACAAACCACACCACTTGACAGGAACACGCTATTACTAATTTCTACTTTTGCAGCACTTGAGGATTGTAGTCATCTTCATACTGATCTTCTATAGCAACACAATTCTATTAACATCCTTTATCAGGTCCAATGTTAATAGCTTGCACTAGTGAATTCTTAAAATGAAACTAGTCTATAAATGTTTTCCCAAAATGCACAAAGTATACATGTCTACTACCTGAGAGGCTTTTTTAAAATCCACAAATCTTAATTTTTTATAATTTCTTTTAGTGATATTCTTATCTGCTTTCTTTGCTTGGTTTTAAAATAAAGGTCCAATTTTATAGCTTTTTATCTGAGGAAAAACAGGTTATTATCAGGCTAAACCGTTGCATTTTGTAAGGCAGAAAACATTGTTATAACTTAAAGCTTATCTTCCTGTCCCCTTCTTTTCAAGTATATTTCATAGAATAGATTCTTAAACTAAAACCACTTCATTTCACATTGACTTTCCTGAACCAACTATTTTGACCTAATTGCTAGAAAGAGTTCCTTTTTACAAGATCTAACACAGTCTTATATGTTCCCTGCTAAACCAGGAAAAGTCATCCTGAGGCTTTCTTAACATATTTCCTAGTTCAAAGCAACTCATCGTACTTGCTCACATATGCATTTCAAACCAGCTGCAAAAACTAAGTGGATTGATTAGTTCTAAGTTCTTTTTGCCCAGACTTTCAATATTTCCTTGAGTGGCTACTGGATTATAGTATTCAGAACCCTGGCAAGTTAAAGATTAGAGTAGATAGCAAGAAGACTTTTCTTCTGCAACAGTTGTTACCGAGTTTAGAAGCCATTGAGACTTGTTCAGAGAGATTGTGCTCTAACAGGATAGATCCCTGGATTCCCACTCTCCCCAGCCCAGGCTGGCAGATACTCTCTCGAAAACCGGAGCATAGGGAGACCTGACACACCCTAGTCTTTCTTATCAGGAAGGTCGTGCTCAAGGTCAGAGTCTTAACAAGCCAAGCTTGAGGACTGCATGGAAAGCTCCATTCAGGCAGCTTGACTCCCATGACCATGCTTCTGGCACAGCAGATGTGCAGAGCCACACCAAACCTGCTAGGTAATAGCAATACATCTTCCTGGAGGACAGGAGTCTTATGTTTGTCCTTCAGTCCATACTGAAGTGGAAGAAATACTTTCTGATTTCTGGATTCCAGATCCTTCAGCTGTCATGACTGAGCACATTGTCTAGGCAGGGTCTTCAGGGAGTGTTCTTTTTAATCCAGGTACTAGTGTCACATTAGTGTCCAGTGATAACCTGTTGATTGCAACTCTGTAGCTTCCTTTCCCTCAAATACTTCTCACTTTCTTTCTGATCTACTCAGAAGACAATCAACATAAACTATTAGAAACTGAGTTCTTAATTACTTACAAAAGAAAAGCATTACTGTATTTTTCCCTCTCCATCCGTTGGATACTGCTTCTATGAAAAATAATAAAGAATTTCTTCTTAATGTGGCAACCACCACGTAGGTGATGATTTCCATTGTGTTTCATAACAGCTTTAAGGGCCAAATGTTTAACAGGTTGTTTTAGTCTACTCTTGAACTGCTGTAAAGAACTACCTGAGACTGGGTAATTTATAAAGAAAAGAGATTTAATTGGCTCACAATTCTGTGGGCTGTACAGGCTTCTGCTTATGGGGAGGCCTCAGGAAACTTATGGCAGACAGTGAAAGGGAAACAAGCATATCTTAATTACATGGTTGGAGCGGGAGGAAGAGAGAAGCGGGGAGTGCTGCACACTTTTAAACAGACAGATCTTGGGAGAACTCTTATCACAAGATAGCACTAGGGGGATGGTGCTAAACCATTAGAAACTGCCCTCATGATCCAATCATCCCCTACCAGGCCCCACTCCAACACTGGGAATTATAATTCAACATGAGATTGGGCTGGGGACACAAATCCAAACCATATCATTCTGTCGCTGGTCCCTCCCAAATTTCATGTCCTCCTCACTTTGCAAAATAGAATGGTACCTTCCCAACAGTGCCCCAAAGTCTTAACTCATTTCAGCATTAACTCAAAAGTTGAAAGTCTCATCTGAGACAAGGCTACTCCCTTCTACCTAGGAGCCTGTAAAATCAAAAACAAGTTAGTTACTTCCGAGAGACAAAGGGGATTTAAGCATTGGGTAAATACTCCCTTTTGAAAAGGGAGAAATCTGCCAAAATGAAGGGCCTCCAGTCCCCATGCAATTCCAAAAGTAAGTAGATTAGTCATCAAATCTTAAAGCTCCAAAATAATCTCCTTTGACTCCTCAGCTCACACCTAGGCTACACTGATGCAAGGGGTGGGCCTCCAAGGCCTTTGAAGCCACGCAGGGCACAGCCCCTGTAGCTGCTTTCATGGACTGGCATTGAGTGCCTGTGGCTTTTCCAGGTGCATGGTGCATGCTGTTGGCAGACCTACCTTTCAGGGTCTGGAGGACAATGGCCCTCTTCTCACAGCTCCACTAGGCAGTGCCCCAGTGGGGACTCTGTGTTGGGGCTCCAACCCCATGTTTTCCTTCCACAGTGCCCCAGAGGTTCTCCATGAGGGCTCTGCTCCTGCAGCAGACTTTTGCCTGGACATCCAGGCATTTCCATACATCTCTGAAATCTAGGCAGAGGCTCCCAAGCCTCTACGGTCTGCCTCTTACATCCACAGACTTAGCACCATGTGGAAGCTGCCAAGGCTTAGGGCTTGCACCCTCTGAAGCAACAGCCTTAGCTGTAACTTGGCCCCTTTTGACCATGTCTGGAGCTAGAGCAGCCATAATGCAGAGCACCATGTGCTGAGGCTGCACAGAGCAGCAGGGCCGGGCCTGGCTCACAAAACCATTTTTCCCTTCTAGGCCTCCGGGCTTGAGATGGAGGGGGCTTGAGATGGGAGGGGCTGCCACAAAGGTCTCTGAAATGCCCTGGAGACATTTTCCTCCATTGTCTTGGCTGTTAACATTCTGTCCCTCCTTACTTAGCAAATTTCTGCAGCCAGCTTGAATTCCTCCCCAGAAAATTGGTTTTTATTTTTTACCACATGGCCAGGCTACAAATTTTCCAAACTTTTATGTTCTGCTTCCCTTTTAAATATGAGTTCTAGTTTCAGATAATCTCTTTGTGCACACATATGAACACATGCTGTTAGAAGCAGCCAGGTCGCTTCTTGAATGCTTTGCTGTTTAGAAATTTCTTCCACCAGATACCCTAAATCATCTGTCTCAAGTTCAAAGTTCCACAGATCACTAGAGCAGGGGCACAGTGCCACCAGTCTCTTTGCTAAAGCATAGCAAAAATTAATGACCTTTACTCCGGTTCCCAGTAAGAAGTTCTTCTCTGAGACTTCTACAGCCTGAACTTTATTGTCCATATCACTATCAGCATTTTGGTCAAAACATTTCTACAAGTCTCTAGGAAATTCCAAACTTTCCCTCATTTTTCTGTCTTCTTTTGAGCCCTCCAAACTGTCTCAACCTCTGCCCATTACCCAGTTCCAAAGCTGCTTCCACATTTTCAGATATCTTCTTGGCAATGTCCTACTTCTCTGGTACCAATTTACTGTATTAGTCCATTCTCACACTGCGATAAAGAACCACCTGAGACTGGGTCATTTATAAAGAAAAGGTTTAATTGGCTCACAGTTCTGTGGGCTGTACAGGCTCCTGCTTCTGGGGAGGCCTCAGGCAACTTGCAGTCATGGTGGAAGGGGAAGGAAGCACGTCTTACATGACTGGAGCAGGAGGAAGAGAGTGGGGGAGGTGCTGCCCACTTAAAAAAACATCTTGGGAGAATTCTACCACAAGACAGTGTGAGGGAGATGATGCTAAACCATTAGAAACCACCCCCATGATCCAGTCACCTCCCACCAGGCCCTTCCCCCAACACTGGGGATTACAATTCAACATGAGATTTGGGTGGGAACACGAATGCAAACCATATCAGTTGTTTCCTAAACATAAATATATTAGCTCTTGTTCAACTTTTGAACTGTTGGGTTTGTTTCATAGGTATTCTCCCATGTGCTGTTCTGTCAGTGTGTCCTTGTTTCTGTGAGCTTAGTTTGGTAATTCTCCCTCTTCTCCTTGCTTAAAAGGGCTGAAGAGCTAGTCAGTAGGTTTTATAAATCTGAGCAGTGTCAGGGTTTCTTCGTCGTCTTCCAGGGCTGGGCCCTGGAGTCTGACTTTGTCCTGGCTTACCAGCCACTGTTTCCTTCATCCATGCCCTTCAGATCTCAAGGGGTGCTCTGTGTGTCTGTATGTGTGCTTGTGCAATCTTCTTGACTTTTCCTTACCAGAAGTTTCAAGAAGTAGATGTGACTTCTCCAGAGAAAGATATCCTTTTCAATCTCCCTTATACGATAAAGGCCATCTCTTAAAGAACTACTGAATAAAATTTGTAATTTACTTTTATTTGACCCAGGCGGATGGTGCTACAAGTGATGACCTTGATTTGCATGATGATCGTCTGTCCTACCTGTCAGCTCCAGGTAGTGAATACTCAATGTATAGCACGGACAGTAGACACACTTCTGACTATGAAGACACAGACACAGAAGGCGGGGCCTACACTGATCAAGAACTAGATGAAACTCTTAATGATGAGGTTGGGACTCCACCGGAGTCTGCCATTACACGGTCCTCTGAGCCTGTAAGAGAGGACTCCTCTGGAATGCATCATGAAAACCAAACATATCCTCCTTACTCACCACAAGCGCAGCCACAACCAATTCATAGAATAGACTCCCCTGGATTTAAGCCAGCCTCTCAACAGGTAAGCAGCAAACATTCAACGTTTTGTAGATAGAGGTGCATTATTAAATTTTAGAATGTGGTGATTGAGTTAAAAATATATATGTTGTCCTTTCTCCAGATTAAGAATTAATCTTCAATTTCAATTTGAGAGTACCAAGGACTTAATTCTAAATTTTGTGTGTTTGTCTTAACACAGCAATGTACTGGATTTTTTTTTTTTTTCTGGAAAGTTTAGGACATGAGGTCATAGTTTTGTTATTCAGCACACTTAAAATGTATGTCTACCAATCACTATAAATTGAAGTGGGAAGTTAGCAGTAAACAGAAACACTATATTTAAAATATTTTAAACACTTCACAGAAAGCAGAAGCTTCATCTCCAGTCCCTTACCTTTCGCCTGAAACAAACCCAGCATCATCAACCTCTGCTGTTAATCATAATGTAAATTTAACTAATGTCAGACTGGAGGAGCCCACCCCAGCTCCTTCCACCACTTACTCACCACAAGCTGATTCTTTAAGAACACCAAGTACTGAGGCAGCTCACATAATGCTAAGAGATCAAGAACCATCATTGTCGTCGCATGTAGATCCAACAAAGGTACCTGTGCTGCGGTGTTGCACTCATTTGTTGCTCTCCATCAATCTGGCACATGATCATTTTTGCTTTGCCCTTTAAGTGTTTCTTTTGCTTTTTTACTGCGGGCTTGTACACTGTAATGCTTTCAAATCAATACAAATCATTTCAGTTTTGTAGTTTGCATGGCTTCCATTGGTATACTGATTATTTGAAAACAGGCCTTTTAATTGAGATTTGTGCTTATTGTTTATTATTTTTATTTTTGGCTTTCAGTATCTTCCAGAATTCCTTAATACGTAATTGAAACCCATCATAAACATATTTATGTTAACACAGATTATGATGCCCATAAATTTTCTTTAGGATTTTTCAGTGTCAAAATGAAGTGTAATCAACAGTTTGGTGCATTAATTTTCTACTAAATTTAATATTTATCTTAACTCACTGTTTAGTACATGCTGAAACATAAAAGCCCCTACCTGCATTATAAATTTTGAGCTTTCACTTAAACCAGCATTTTCCACTAATCTTGTCTATCCTGATAATAAATGGTAAAACGTACCATTTTCACATATTAAATCATAGTTTAATATTTAATCATAGTCTAATAAAATAGACTAAAATTAAAAACAAGACTTTGTCCTTAAATGTGAATTTTTTATACAGGTGTACAGAAAGGATCCATATCCCGAGGAAATGATGAGACAAAACCATGTTTTGAAACAGCCAGCCGTTGGTCACCCAGGGCACAGGCCAGACAAAGAGCCTAATCTGACCTATGAACCCCAACTCCCATACGTAGAGAAACAAGCCAGCAGAGACCTTGAGCAGCCCACGTACAGATACGAGTCCTCAAGCTATACGGACCAGTTTTCTCGAAACTATGAACATCGTCTGCGATACGAAGATCGCGTCCCCATGTATGAAGAACAGTGGTCATATTATGATGACAAACAGCCCTACCCATCTCGGCCACCTTTTGATAATCAGCACTCTCGAGACCTTGACTCCAGACAGCATCCCGAAGAGTCTTCAGAACGCGGGTACTTTCCACGTTTTGAAGAGCCAGCCCCTCTGTCCTATGACAGCAGACCACGTTACGAACAGGCACCTAGAGCGTCTGCCCTGCGGCACGAAGAGCAGCCAGCTCCTGGGTATGACACGCATGGTAGACACAGGCCGGAAACCCAGCCCTACCCTTCAGCAGGGCCCAAGCCCGCAGAGCCCAAGCAGTATTTTGAGCAATATTCACGCAGTTACGAGCAAGTCCCACCCCAAGGATTTACCTCTAGAGCAGGTCATTTTGAGCCTCTCCATGGTGCTGCAGCTGTCCCTCCGCTGATACCTTCATCTCAGCATAAGCCAGAAGCTCTGCCTTCAAATACCAAACCGCTGCCTCCACCCCCAACTCAAACCGAAGAAGAGGAAGATCCAGCAATGAAGCCACAGTCTGTACTCACCAGAGTTAAGATGTTTGAAAACAAAAGATCTGCATCCTTAGAGACCAAGAAGGATGTAAATGACACTGCCACTTTTAAGGTAAATATGTCTTTCCTGCCTTGGATGCATAGGCACATGGTTTAAAAGGCTTCTTAGCTCTCCCCTCCCCCATTACATGATATCTATTCTGTAATTATCTGTTCCTTAGGCATATTTGTCTTTTTTTTTTTTCTCCTAAACAGCCTCCAGAAGTAGCATCTAAACCTTCAGGTGCTCCCATCATTGGTCCCAAACCCACTTCTCAGAATCAATTCAGTGAACATGACAAAACTCTATACAGGTGAGTGCACTTTGTGCTCTTTGTGGCATAGAACTGACCAGGAATTTATCCCTCTTAGTCAATGAGAAAACCTTTTACTGTGTTAGTAGAGGAGAGGTGTGAATAGGAGGAGTTTGTCCTTAAATAAAAACTATCAGCTCTCCTACACAGTGATTCTAAGAAAAAAAAAAAAGTAGAACTTTATTATGCCTTTTCTGACAAATCTTTATACCTTTAGCAAACTTTCGGAAGGATAGTCTCCAAGCAGATGATTAAATAAACATTTTCAAGCTCTGACATTTGTATTATGTTTTTTAGTTTTAAAAGTGCTTTTCAACATGTGACCTCTTAGTTTCCAGTGGTGAGGAAACAGACTCAGATTGGTTAAGATAACTAAATCATTCAGTGAGCATGCATCAGGTGCTTGCCCTTGTGCTAAACACATCAGCAGAATGAGGTGACAGTGGTGTTCTGCATCGCAGAGAGAGAGACTGAGGCTGAGAGGGGTTAAATAGCTTACAAGACTTCTTAGAGCTGGAAGAGAAACCTGGCCCGCTGCTCCTCAGCCTGAGCTTTTTCCCATGGCCTCATTGCACTGCCAATAAGTGACAGATTAGATTTGAATAGTTCTTCTGATTTTTTTTTTTTTTGCCTGAATATATGTTTGCACTTATCGTAAAGAAGAGAGCTGTCTAATATGCATTTCCTTAGTGACTTGCTTTCTTCCTCATCTACTTTCTATGCCTTCTAGAACTTTAGACCATATAGAGTTATTCGTTCATATGAGAATCATTGAGATCCTGGACTGAGTTCTTAAAAATCCCTGTGAAAGTTCTTAAAGTCTATCATTTACTGTTCTTGACCTTCATATATGTACTTCTCAAGATGCTCACTGTCTTGGTTGCATTCCCCTTTGTCTTTCTGAGTAACTACTTCTAAACTGCTGTCCCCTAATCATATAATCATTTAGCTTATTAAATTGTGTTAAAGGACTCATGAGCCAGAAGGGGGCTGCCTTTTGAGTATACTCTGTGAGGACATGGGATTTGAAATATCTATTCTAACTGTTGGACTGCTCAGATCCTCAGTAATCACAGCAGTTAGTAATTATTGACCTTTTGGTCAAGGTAAGACTTACGTACTCTACTTCCTTCATAACATTAATATCTAAAAAGGTGTTCCATTTGTCATTCATTATCTGTTAGGATCCCAGAACCTCAAAAGCCTCAACTGAAGCCACCTGAAGATATCGTTCGGTCAAATCATTATGACCCTGAAGAAGATGAAGAATATTATCGAAAACAGCTCTCATACTTTGACCGAAGAAGTTTTGAGAATAAGCCTCCTGCACACATTGCTGCCAGCCATCTCTCCGAGCCTGCAAAGCCAGCTCATTCTCAGAATCAATCAAATTTTTCTAGTTATTCTTCAAAGTAAGCTCTTTCACCTGGCTTTTAAAAAACAGGATGCAGCATATTAATCTCGTGCAGTTCAATATATTTTGAAGAAAAATAGTTTAAATGTAATATATGATTTCTGTAGGCTCTAGTGCTTCAGCATTGTACATGGTTTTTTAGTTCTGGGATGTGTGTTTTGCTTTTAAAGTCTGCTGTTAGATGTACACAGTTTTTGCATTCACAAAGATGCTAACATCACAGGGCTTTGACGGAAGACAGTGTCAGCTACAAGGACCCTCATTGCTAGGTAATCATCAGTCTTCTGTACACACAAAGAATGACCTCATGCTGGTTCTTTTTCTTTTCTGTTTTTATTTTTTAAATATAAAAACAGATGTGAGGAGGATCCTGTTTGAGGGAAATACCGAAGAGGTTTTTTGTTTTTGTAAGATTTCTGATCCAGTTTTACAGGTGAAGGAAAATGACAGGGCAGAGCTGGGACTGAACCCAAGTTTCTTGACTCCCAGTCATCTTTTCCCTGTTCTTGCTGCTCCCCTCTGTTTGCTCATCCCCGGGTTTTGTGTTAGTTTGTTCTCCTTTCTTGTGCCTGCGTGGGTTTGTGTCTCCTTCTGGTTCTGTGTCTCTGGTTGAACCCTGACTGATAAGAGCATTTGGTACTGATAGTTGGGTCTAAGCCCACACAGTCTTCATACCTCAACAGAACAAAACCCACAAGAACAAAAACAGGTGTGGATTTGTCAAAAGAAATTCATGTACACAGTTACAGGGGCTGGCTAAGCAAGTCGTATTTCAGAGGGCAGTTGGTCAGGAAGGGAAGATTTTGAGCTACTGCAGAGTGTGAGATCACGGAAGGCCTAAATTCTCATTCAGAGGGCTCCACTGATTAGGCCAGGCCCTCCCAAGACCATCTCCCCTCAACTGACTGGGGACATAAAACCTGAAAAATCCCTTCATAGAAGTACCTAGCCAGATTGACGTATTAGAATTCATCTCACATAGTATTGTGTCTAGACTAAAAGCACCTAGATTTTTCCTTAATTAGTTGCGTGGGCTTGGGATTATCTTGGGAAATTAATTACTTGTCATTTACTATTGTGTGAAATTGTTTTAGAACGTACTTTAAAACCACTAACATTAAAACCTAATTTTGGCCGGGCGCGGTGGCTCAAGCCTGTAATCCCAGCACTTTGGGAGGCCGAGACGGGCGGATCACGAGGTCAGGAGATCGAGACCATCCTGGCTAACACGGTGAAACCCCGTCTCTACTAAAAAAAAATACAAAAAACTAGCCGGGCGAGGTGGCGGGCACCTGTAGTCCCAGCTACTCGAGAGGCTGAGGCAGGAGAATGGCGTAAACCCAGGAGGCGGAGCTTGCAGTGAGCTGAGATCCGGCCACTGCACTCCAGCCTGGGCGACAGAGCGAGACTCCGTCTCAAAAAAAAAAAAAAAAAAAAAACACCTAATTTTAATTACCACTGCTTTTTCTAAGACATCATTCGAAGTGAAGACTTAAAACATTTTTTTTCACTGTCCTATATTTAAGGCTTTATGTTTACAGAAGAAAGCAGTTTATGAGAATACAAATGCAAACTGAGAGTGCTGCAATGGGGGTTATATTAAATGCAAATCGTGTCTTGCACTAGTGTTGTGAACCACCCCTTAGCACAACACTAGAAAGGGGTTGTGGCATCTAGATGATGTCTAGACTGAAGTGAGCTAGGCACAATGTAAACCCACACAGGCGCACAGCTGGGTTCATACCTCAACAGAAAAAAACCCACAAGAACAAAAACAGATGTGGATTTGTCATTAGGAATTCGTTTACATTTACAGTGTTACAGGAGTTCATTTACAGTTATCACAGTAGCATCTAAATGGTATCTAGCCTAAAGTGAGCTAGGCACTGAGCCTTAGGAGCTCACCTTTGGGTGTACCCTTTAGTTATTATTTTTATTAAACACCGTTAAACACATTCATTCCTGTCAGAAGAAGGCTCATGGATGTAGTTTAAAGATATCTCTTATTTATCATTTTACATACTTGGTAAATAGAATACAACCTTAAAAGATTATATGGCCAGGCACAGTGGCTCACGCCTGTAATGCCAGCACTTTGGGAGGCCAAGACGGGCGGATCATGAGGTCAGGAGATTGAGACCATCCTGGCTAATACGGTGAAACAAAAATACAACTAAAAATACAAAAATTAGCTGGGCGTGGTGGTGGGCGCCTGTAGGTAGTCCCAGCTACTCGGGAGGCTGAAGCAGGAGAATGGCATGAACCCGGGAGGCGGAGCTTGCAGGGAGCCGAGATCGTGCCTCTGCACTCCAGCCTGGGCAACACAGTGAGACTCCGTCTCAAAAAAAAAAAAGGATTATATTTAGATCTAAAAAGTAAGTTGTTTTGCCAGGGAATCAATTGAAATGCATGTTTGCTTTGTTTTTCTAGAAAGAAGACTTAGCTTATTTGTGATGTATAACTTCAGGGTGTAGAACATTGCCTTGCATACAGCGGGGGCTTAATAATTGTTGAGTGAATGAAGCTCAAAACAGGGCATGGTGTACTAGGTGCATCCACCACCCTCCTTTTCATTAACACAGCTCTGGAAGGAACCTGTATTACCTGGTCATTGTTTTCACAGGGATATATTGTGAAGTAGATGACATCTGTCTTTGTGAATTTACTCGGAACTCAGTTTGATTTTACTCCCTGCTGCTGTGAGTGAGAAAAGTATAATTTGGGATGGATACCAGTATACTTTTTTTTCCTTTGTAGTGTGAAATTGAAACTCTTTATAATTGTGCTGCATTTTCCTATATAGGTATTTAATGGTTAGAGAATTGGAAAGGAGAATAAGGGTCATGGAAGATAACTAAGAGGGAAGTTGTTTCTGTAACTTTCCCTTGTAATGCTTTTTCATCCTCTTACCCGATAAGTACAACTTCATCAACTGGAAAATAGCTTAAAATATGGGACTCTGTCCTGCATTTCAAAACCATTTACTGTTTGTCACTAAATAGACTGCCTTCAGGCATTGCTTTCTTTCAGTAAAATACAGGAATGGCAAAATTTTCTTCCTCCAGATGATGTGTGCTTATGCTTCACTTAAAAACACACCTCAGAAATGGTGAGAATCAGAGACGAAAAATAATCTTTGTTAGCACAGGACACATGCCCCAGCAAGCAAGCAGATAACCCAGTCTTAAAATTCCATAGAGCTGGATTACAACTGGAAAGGTCAGGAGACAGTAGCTTAGACATTTCACCTCCAAAGTAAATTGGAAGTTTCCAGGATTCTAAGACAGTGCAAGAAGAGCAGTGTCCCTCCAGGGCTGTTCACATGTCTCCGCCCAGAGATTGAGTCAACTTCTTCAGGACAACCAGGGATTTTTTTGTTATCAAATCTACCTTTCAGGACTCAGCTCACTCAGCGAGACTTCCAGGTCTCAATAAATGATGGTGGTTTTTAGCTTTTAAAGAACTAAATGTAAGAGACTGATGTTCAGTTGTTTTTGTGTTTGTGAGACATCATTAGATGAGAGAGAGACTGAGCATCAAGCATGCAGCTTCACCAGTAAGACTCCACCACCACAGGGCCCAGCTTACGATTGCCGATGCAGAAGGTCTTGCTAGAAAGGAACATGAGAAGTCTGGCCAGGTTTCAAGCCAGGCATGTTTGTATCTGTCCATTTACCATTCCCCTCCCAGGGGCTCGGTGTAGCTCTTCTGTTGTGTTACTTTTTCCTGTGTCTTCACTTGCAGTGTTTCTTTTGCCCAGCCTTTTTTTTTTTTTTCTTTAATAGGACATTTCACTCCCACTTATTCAGAACCTGCTGATTATCCTTGATCGCCACTCTTTGATTTGATAAATTTCTTTGCTCACTATTAGCAGCTGCAACAGAGGTGCAGAAGGAGCAAAGCTCAAACACATTGCTCCTCACTGCAGTACCAGTTAAAGTACATGAAGGGTGGGCCAGCAGATGGCATAACTAAGTGACTGTGTTTTATCTATCTTTAATTTCCTTGGCCAAATGAGAGTTAGTGATATGTTCCTTTATAGACCAAATTATGGTGAAATGGTGGATGTTGGTTATTTTTAAATGACATTTGAGTTCCATTTGCTGCAAATTTACTTAGTTAGATTGACCATTTTCTTTCATTTTTCCGTTGCGCTTGCTTTGCCATCACCTAGATTTCTTGGCTCTTACACTAGCTATGACTACTTGAAAAGGAACGTCAAGTGGTAAGACTGGCAATTAATGTGAGGCTGTTCCGTAAGGTGTCCCTCACTGTGTCACTGGCATTATGTGCACTTTCAGAATTTAATGTCATCATCAAGGGCTTAGTCTAAATTCATGAAAACAAGATAAAGAAGCCAATCATGAGACTTCTTCAATGAAAATGTATGAAAATGACCGGGATATTCCAAATGGCGTATGTTGTTGTGGGTGCACATAAAGCTAGTGCGGCTTTGGCATTCAGCAGTAAGGTTTAGATGGCAATGTTGCAATTATGGGTCTTCTAAAAAGATTTGTGTGAATTTTGTGTTACATATTAACAATTGGCAATCTGAAAAAATAAGCATACATGGCACAATTTGACTTAAATGAACCTTGTAAGATAAAGCAGTATCTGCTGCTCCAGCAGTCATTTAACCAAAAAATGGACCTGGTAACTCAAGGGGAAATTTTAAAGTAAAAGCTCCAGTTTTTTTAGTTTTACTGAAACACAGATATGCCCGTTGTGTGTGGCTGCTTTGAGGCTATAACCGCATAGTTTGAATAGTTGTGACAAAGACTGTATGGACCAAAAGACCAGAAACATTTACTTTCTGGTGTTTCAGTGAAGAAGTTTGCCAACCCCTAGTCTACGACATCTGTTTTTGTAGTGCTCTGAGTATGCCAGATGCCAGATACAAAATCAGAAGTGGGTCTAGGGCTGGGCGCCATGGCTCATGCCTGTAATTCCAGCACTTTAAGAAGCCGAGGCGGGCAGATCACTTGAGGTCAGGAGTTTGAGACCAGCCTGGCCAACATGGCGAAACCCCATCTCTACTAAAAATACAAAAATTAGCCAGGCATGGTGGCTGGCGCCTGTAATGCCAGCTACTCGGGAGGCTGAGGCAGAAGAGTCGCTTGAGCCTGGGAGGAGGCAGAGGTTGTGGTGAACTGAGATCACGCCACTGCGCTCCACTCTGGGTGACAGACTGAGACCCTGGCTCAAAAAAAAAAAAAAGAAAAAAAAAAAGTGGGTCTTAGGAAAATTTGTGCCATGATATGTTTTCAGAATATTTGCAAGACTTTCTTAAATCTGTCAATGTTACTATCTTTTGTAAATAACAATTAAATATTAAAATATACCCAAAATTTCACCTGCCTTTGGTTGCCATCTTCTGGATGTTTTACTAATATTCTTAAAGTATTTGTGTGTGTGGACATTTCTTGTGCCGATAAATGGTTGAATCTGTTTTTATATTTCGGTAGAGTAGCTACCCATACTCACGAGAATAAATTGTGAAATTTCTAGTTAACTTAAGAGATACGTGCAGAAATGAGAACTTGTTTTGTAAATGTGAGTCCATTTTCAGGTGTTGGCATTTTCTTCATTTGTTAACAGGGGAAAGCCTCCTGAAGCTGATGGTGTAGATAGATCATTTGGTGAGAAACGCTATGAACCCCTCCAGGTCACTCCCCCTCCTCCTCCATTGCCCTCGCAGTACGCCCAGCCATCTCAACCTGTCACCAGCGCATCTCTCCACATACATTCTAAGGGAGCACATGGTGAAGGTAGGAAGTTCGGAAGTAGACATTATAACACAGTAATGCTTAAGAAGTAAAATTCTGGTGGTTTCTAGGCAAAATGGTTTTTACATTAAAAAATACATGATTGAAACCTTTGGGCTGGGAACAGTAAAAACTAAGAATTTTGTTAAAAGTATGTCTCCTGTTTTTACAAGACCATTATTTTGGACAAGCCTTTTAGCTAAACAGATTTTAATCTGTTTTGTGCTAGTCTCAATCTTGTGGAAGTAGTGTTTGCCAGTATATCTAAAGATGGTTTGTAAAACGTATTGTTATGTTTCATCTTCACACACCCAAATAGAAAAGCCATGGTGTTTCACAGAAGATGTATCCCATAGCACCTTGACTTTTGCATTTACACACCAGGTAGATCACATACAGCTCCAGCTTATTCATCTTAAGAGCTGTGTAACGTTTTACCCTCAGCATGTAACACAAAGTGTTTATCTCTTCTGCCGTGAACAGGCATTCTCGTAGCACAGACTTCTCTCTTATTCCGTTAGGAGGCACCTCCCAGGATTTGAGTCTTCAAGCAGACGTGTTATAGTTCTGGATTGAGACTTACTAAGATTTTGTTTCACACACGACCATGTTTACAGATGAAGACAGTTTTAATTCTTACTTTCCAGTCTTTATGCTTTTTCTTTTTTTCTTTTTTTTTTTTCCTCTCTCTCTTTTTTGAGACACAGCCTTGCTCTCGCCCAGGCTAGAGTGCAGTGGCACAGTCTCAGCTCACTGCAACCTCTGTGTCTTGGGTTCAAGTGATTCTCCTGCCTCAGCCTCCTGAGTAGCTGGGACTACGGCGTACACCACTACGCCCAGCTAATTTTTGTATTTTTTGTAGAGACAGGGTTTCATCATGTTGGCCAGGCTGTTCGCAAACTCCTGACCTCAGGTGATCTGCCCACCTCGGCCTCTCAGGTGCTGGGATTACAGGCGTGAGCCACCGCACCTGGCCTTCTTTCTTTTCTTGCTGATTGCACTGGCCAGGACCTCCAATGAACTCTGAAACATAAGTGGTGAAATTGGACCTCTTTTGCTAGTTCCTGATCTTAAGGAGGAAGGACTTCATGTTTTACCCTTAGAATGTTAGCGGTGGGATTTTCGTCGATGTCCTTTGTCGTGTTTAAGATGTTCCCCATATTCAGAGTTTGCTGCAAGCAGTTGGTCAGATGTTTTTCCTGCATGTATTAAGATGACCATATGATTTTTCTTCTCATACTGTGGTAAATTATATTGCCATGTTCATGAGGAATTTGGATTAGTAGTTCTCTTGTCTTGTAGTGTCTTTAATTATTTCACAGAGTTCAGTTGGTACTATATTACACTGCCTCTGCCGGCACATAAAAAATCCTGTGGTTCCACTTCTTAACCAACATTTGGCATTATCAAACTTTTCAGTTTTTCCATTCTAGTGTGTGTGAAATAGTATTTAATGCTTTTGGTTGGTTTTGTTTTACATTTTTCTAATTAATAGTGAATGTCCTTATTATATGGTTATTGGACATTCTGGTTTTCACAAAGACTAGTGCCAGTCTTTGGAGGCCAGGAATCTTAGCAGCTGGACCCTGACTCCAGGGCAGCAGGGTCTACCCATGGTACCGCCTGTCCGTGCTGCCCTCATCCCTCAGCACCACACCTAGCCTCCGGGGCTCAGGAGTCAGCCTCTGGCTGTGCGACTCACACTTGGGCCTCGACTCCAGCACCAGGACAAGTTGAGCTGGGAGAGGGCTGTTACACCTTTTTTCAGAAAGGTTTTTAAATGCTTATGTTTGTTTTTCAGGTAATTCAGTGTCATTGGATTTTCAGAATTCCTTAGTGTCCAAACCAGACCCACCTCCGTCTCAGAATAAGCCAGCAACTTTCAGACCACCAAACCGAGAAGATGCTGCTCAGCCAGCTTTCTATCCCCAGAAAAGTTTTCCAGATAAAGCCCCAGTTAATGGAACTGAACAGACTCAGAAAACGGTCACTCCAGCATACAATCGATTCACACCAAAACCATATACAAGTTCTGCCCGACCGTTTGAACGCAAGTTTGAAAGTCCTAAATTCAATCACAATCTTCTGCCAAGTGAAACTGCACATAAACCTGACTTGTCAAAAACTCCCACTTCTCCAAAAACTCTTGTGAAATCGCACAGTTTGGCACAGCCTTCTGAGTTTGACAGTGGAGTTGAAACTTTCTCTATCCATGCAGAGAAGCCTAAATATCAAATAAATAATATCAGCACAGTGCCTAAAGCTATTCCTGTGAGGTAAGACTTTTGCCTTTGCTCAAAGCATTGCCCCTGTGATTTTTCTCATGTGAGTTTGTTGTAGTTTATTTGACTTGGGACTTTGAAGTGATCTTTTTAACTCAACCTTTAAACTGAAGAGTGTTGTTGCAATGAATGCTGTTACATAGAAGGTCCTCCAGGAGTTACAAGATGTTGGTAAAATAATAAAGCTAACAGTCATGTATGGTTGGTAGGTATTGTCATCATCCCTGTTTTACTAAAACTGAGGTTGAGTGACAGTAAGCAGATTGCCCAGGGTCACACAGCTCGAGTGAGGTGAGCCTCGATTTAGCTGCTGGTCATCCAACCTCCGAGCCCATGCTTTTTTTTTTTTTTTTTTTTTTTTTTAAAAAGACAGAGTCTCCCTCTGTCGCCCAGGCTGGAGTGCAGTGGTGCGATCTTGGTTCACTGCAACCTCCACCTCCTGGGTTCAGGCGATTCTCCTGCCTCAACCTCCTGAGTAGCTGGAACTACAGGCGTGCACCACCACGCCCAGCTAAATTTTTTGTATTTTTAGTAGAGAGAGGGTTTCACCATGTTGGTCAGGCTGGTTTTGAACTCCTGACCTCAACTGATCCACCCACCTCGTCCTCCGAAAGTGTTAGGATTACAGATGTGAGCCACCACACCTGGCCTCTTTTTTTTTTTTTTTTTAATCAAGACAGAGTCTCGCTCTGTCACTCAGGCAGGAGTGGCGTGATCTCAACTCTCTGCAACCTGCAACCTCCGCCTCCCAGGTTCTAGCAATTCTCATGCCTCAGCCTTCCAAGTAGCTGGGACTACAGGTATGCACCACTATGCCCTGCTAGTTTTTGTATTTTTAGTAGAGGCGGGGTTTTGTCATGCTGCCCAGGCTGGTCTTGAACTCCCAGGCTCAAGTGAGCCTCCCAAAGTGCTGGGATTACAGGTGTGAGCCACTGCACCCAGCCGAGAACCCATACTCTTAACCAGCCATGGCCTCTTGTATTCTCCTGACCTGCTGTTAAGGGGCATGTGGAGGACATCTAAAAACGTTAAATATCTATGTTCCTCTTTCATTATTTGTTCCACAATGATGCTAAGAAGAAAAATAGAATAGCCCTGACTGTTTAAAGAGCAGCAGTTAGTAAGATGGCTGAGCAAATGAGACAAAGCAAGCCCTCCTGGAGCCTCCCTGCAGCTCCTCTTTCCTGTCTTTCATTCCGTGGCGATTGACCGGATGGATTCTGGCCACACATTAGCTCATCTCACCCTCCTACAGCCAGTTCCATTTTCATACCACCGTAAAGCAGAAGCACTTATAGGCAGGGAGAACCAAAGGTCAGGATGGCCACCTGAGGCTGCTTTCCGAGAGCAAGGATGGTTATGGCGGTCACTGCCTTCCCAGCTCTGCACATCCACCGGTGGTCAGGGACAGACACAGTTGACCCCTGCTATGCAGCTCAGGCTGCACTCTGCTCCCTTGATATTGTGCCGTAGGATGTCGTCCCTGGCACTCCGGTCATGCTGGAGTGAAGCTGCAGCTACCTTCATGTGATTCTGTTTTGTTGGTCTTTCTGCTCACCTTTAAGCCCTGGCTCAAAACTGTCCTTCAGGAAGTCTTGATAGCCTCTATTTTTGAAGCCGTCATTGATACCACATCCCCTTTGCCTTTGGTGTTCTGTGATTACTAAGTTAATCTACTGTCTCTCTTTTTGTGGATGTTTGGGATGTGCCCATACAAGGGTCTTCAGCTCATGGAACCTTGGAAGCCTTGCCTTCTGCAGCAGGGTGGGCACTTGGTCCTCAGGGATGCTGAGGCAGGACCATATTCATGTGTACTTAAAATCCTAGGGAGATGTTATCAAGTCTGAGATGCTGTCAGCTGTGAGATGCACCATTGTTTTGTGTCACTAAGAATGGAAGAACAGCCGGGCACGGTGGCTCATGCCTCTAATCCCAGCACTTTGGGAGGCTGAGGCAGGTGGATCATGATGAGATGAGGAGTTTGAGACCAGCCCGGCCAATATGGTGAAACCCCATCTCTACTAAAAATACAAAAATTAGCCAGGCGTGGTGGCACATGCCTGTAGCCCCAGCTACTCGGGAGGCTGAGGCAGAAAAATCATTTGAACCTGGGAGGCAGAGGTTGCAGTGAGCCAAGATCGTGCCACTGCACTCCAGCCTGGGCAGCAGAGTGAGACTCTGTCTCAGAATAGTAATAATGATAATAATACTCTCTGAGATAACCCTGTCAGTAAAATCTGTTGCCAGAAACTTACCTTGTTAAAGTAACTTCTTGATTATATGGAGAAACAAAAGTAAAATGAAAGCACGTAATACAGTAGTAGTAAAAGCAAAGCACCTGTGTACTATTAGGAATTCACTCACTAGCCATTTCTGAACTTTCAGTCCTTCAGCTGTGGAAGAGGATGAAGATGAAGATGGTCATACTGTGGTGGCCACAGCGCGAGGCATATTTAACAGCAATGGTGGCGTGCTGAGTTCCATAGAAACTGGAGTCAGTATAATTATCCCTCAAGGAGCCATTCCCGAAGGAGTTGAGCAGGAAATCTATTTCAAGGTCTGCCGAGACAACAGCATCCTCCCACCTTTAGATAAAGAGAAAGGTAAATGTGTTTATTTTTCTCCTTAGTTTTGATAACTTAAGAGTTGCCCTGTGTGCACTTCAAAGCTTATAGTGCTTGGCTAAGGGGGTAATGCAGCACCTCTCTTACCTCCACCCTGGGCCACTAATAATAGCATGTTCCTTTCATCAGGGAGGTCCTTTCAGATGAGTGCTGTAGCGAGGGGTGCCCTGGGGATGGTGTTGCAAGCAGGCAGGAGGTGGCCTGAGGCAAGGCTGTGGTGGCCACACCGCCTGCTTTTACTTTTGGTATGAAGTAAAAAAATGATGGCATAGGACAGGCCACGGGGTGTCTCTCACTTGTGCCTGCTGAGCAGCCTGGGCTGACCTGACCAAGTTTGTCTTTGAGTCCGTCAGCCTTTGGGTCTCTGGAGATGGGTTAGGTAACACCCACTCAGAAAGGCTTTGCTGTGTCTTCACCTGATTGGAGAACCTAAACGTCTTGACAGGTACTGTCTTACCATCACCCCAGAACCCAGCACTAGTACATGCTCGGCAGAGTGCACGGAGTCTCAGAGGAGACGACAGTATGTTTCTGAGCTTCTTAAGGAAACTGTTATTTTCATAATCCTCCTGGATCTATCAGGATATTGTAACGAACTGTGTCGTGATTTAGCATCTTTTAGCAGTGCTTTTACTTTCCTAAATCAGTTAACACTTTCTTACGTTTTGCCAGAATACTGATATCTGATTCTGTACTCTGATTTTGGGGATATCCTGTTTTAAAAACCAGTAGGACTGACTGTGTTGGCCCTGCATGAATCCTTTAAGCATCTATGGAGCAAATTTTAAAAATGGAAAATATGTCACATTTGTAACAAGTACATTTGAATATGTTTTATACTATAGACCCATATGATTGAATGCAGTAGCCACTACCTGCACGTGGCTACCTCGCACTTGAAGTGTGACAATTTTGGATTGAAAGATGCTGGAAATGTGAAATAAACATCAAGTTCCAAAGATACCATATATTGGTTACATGTTGAAATAACAGTGTTTTGGTTATATTGAGTTATAATACTATACTATTTGTTATCACCTGTTTCTTTTTACTTTCTAACGTGGCTACTGGGAAATTTAAAATTCCATATGTGTCTGCTGTTACATTTTTTTTGTGGTCAGTGCGATTGTAGAGAACTAACTGCATTAGGCTTTCAAGCATATAATTAGAAGCAGGGTGAGGAAAACTGGGGGTCTAGAAGAAAGACCACATCCAACCTCTCTGCCTATCCCCTTTTCCAACTCCAGGTGAAACACTGCTGAGTCCCTTGGTGATGTGTGGTCCCCATGGCCTCAAGTTCCTGAAGCCTGTGGAGCTGCGCTTACCACACTGTGCGTCCATGACTCCTGACGGTTGGTCTTTTGCTCTAAAATCATCCGACTCCTCGTCGGGTATGCTGTCTTCACTCTGTCCTTTGGGGCTTTGGGGACTGTCGTTGATTAATACCTGGGCTGGTGATGCTACCCATGCTGTGTGTTAGCAAATCTCTCCCTCTGTTCCTGTGGCCTTGTAGGCATCACCGGTATTTCCACATTTATTTATGGTGCATATATTGTAAATAAATTCCATGGAAAGATAGAAGAGTTGCTTCCTTTTAAAAATTGATCATTTGGGCCAGGCGTGGTGGCTCACGCCTGTAGTCCCAGCACTTTGGGAGGCCAAGGCGGGTGGATCACCTAAGGTCAGGAGTTCGAGACCAGCCTGGCCAACATGGTGAAACCCCATCTATACTAAAAATACAAAAATTAGATGTGTTGGCACATGCCTGTAGTCCCAGCTACTCAGGAGGCTGAGGCAAGAGAATTGCCTGAGCCAGGGAGGCGGAGGTTGCAGTGAGCCGAGATCATGCCACTGCACTCCAGCCCGGCCAACAGAGCGAGACTCTGTCTCAAAAAAAAAAAAAAAAAAAATTTAATAATTTGGCCAAATAATTGAGTATTTCTTGGTATTCAAAATGATTGATTCTGTCCAATTTTTCAGGATACAGTGGGAGAATTGTTATTGTCCTGCACAAACAGGCATTTTTATCTTATTAAAATTAGTTCATTCCTTTCTATAACTATTTATATTTTTGGTTACTGTTGTTTCGTTTCTTTTTTGTTTGTTTTGTTTTGTTTTGTTTGAGACGGAGTCTTCCTCTTCGCCCAGGCTGGAGTGCAGTGGCACGATCTCGGCTCACTGCAAGCTCTGCCTCCCAGGTTCAAGCGATTCTCCTGCCTCAGCCTCCCGAGTAGCTGCAATTACAGGAGTGCGCCACCACGCCCGGCTAATTTTTGTATTTTTAGTAGAGATGGGGTTTCACCATGTTGGCCAGGCTGGTTCGAAATCCTGACTTCAAGTGATCCACCCGCCTCGGCCTCCCAGCGTGCTGGGATTACAGGCGTGAGCCCCTGCACCTGGCCTGTTTAATTTCTTAATCTACAAAGTATGTATACCAGAGAAATTTAAAAGAATCTTCCATTGTGATCATACTTGGCCATGGTTTTTCAGTGTAATACTCTAAATTGCTTCTTTTATACACTATTTGTAAACAACTTTTTGCTCCTAAGATCACAATTTCAAAGCTTCCATTGCATTTTCACATTTCTCACTTCCTTGAGTGACTTAAGTCAGTTAACAATCAGAATTTTATTTTAGGTGTAGATCACTTTAAGCGAACCTGATTTAAAGTCCTGCTTCCAAATCTTTGATAAATCAGACGAGCATTATTTAGTTTTAGTTTGGTACAGTATGAAATAAAAGTTTGTGGTATAAAGATCATAGCAAGAGCATATTTTAATGTTACCAAAGAAAAAAATTACTTGTAAATACATATTTCCTCATATTTACAAGTACCGCATTTTCTGGAAAAATGAAATGCTTTTGGCTCCAGATATTGCTTAGGTAATGTCTAACATACTGTAGGCAGGGTTCTCAGCTGGCACTGTTGACATTTTGGCCAAATGATTATTGTAAGGGCTCTCCTGTTCATTGTGGGATATTTAGCAGCTTCCCTGGGCCTCTACCCCTAGATGCCAGTGGTAACAAGCAAACTGTCTCCAGATGTCCCATCTGGGGCAGGGCCGTTCCTGTTTGAGAGCTATTGCTGTAAGGGAAGCAGAAATCCACAGCTGTGACTCTCAGCTTGTTTGGATACCACAGAGACACATACTTGTCCCTGCCTTCTTCACATTTAATAGAAATCACCAAGAGCTTATTAAAAACTTAAATCCTGAGATCTAACTAACACCCAGTCAGTGAGTTTCTGAAGCTGCGTGATTAATTTTGTTGTTCAGCTGGAATCAGAGCTGAGCAGCTCTGGTGCAGTCTCGTTTCTTTGTTTGTTTTTTGTAAGGGGAAAGATGGTCTTCAAGAACTAGATTCTGCAGAACTGGGTTTCTCATTTGTTGGTCTATAGTTGAGTATGAGAAATGTGTCCTCATTCTCAGCTCAAATAGGTGACCATATAATTATCCTGCAGACTTTTGAAAGGGGGAAAAAAAAAGTGCTACTGATAATTATGTGGGCTCGGGTAAACTGGAACTGTCCCAGACATGAGATTGCCGTCACTCACTTGTATTCGTTTTTTGAAAAGTCAATGCACTTGATAATGTAATAAAGGAGAAGTCTGAAAGTTTGAAAAAAGAAAACTGTTCTTAATGGTGTGAGTTGGAAAGAAAGTTTTAAGTATTTTTTTAAATAGAAGTGTGAAACACCTTTGAAATTGTTAGGTGGCAGCAGGTGTGCATTGAAATAAAGCAGTGAATTTTGATAACAAATACAATATGCTGAAGAAACAGAAGAAAATTATGTTTAAATATACATATTTGCCCTATAATTGCAAAGCATTGCAGATAGCAATTTACTCAACTGTAAATGACATCACCTTCTTTTCTCTCATAGGTGATCCTAAAACCTGGCAAAACAAGTGTCTTCCTGGAGATCCAAATTATCTCGTTGGAGCAAACTGTGTTTCTGTCCTTATTGACCACTTTTAACTCTGAAATATAGGAACTTGATTAAATAATGTGAAACTGGATTAAACTTAATCTAAATGGAACCACTCTATCAAGTATTATACCTTTTTTAGAATTGATACTACAGTTTGTTAGTATGAAGCATTTGTTTGAACTGATAAAGATTAGTGAGCATGCCCCTGAACCATGGTCAGAAAACACGCTACACGCTGTGTGTTTGTGATTGACGGGACTGTTGGTATTGGCTAGAGGTTCAAAGATATTTTGCTTTGTGATTTTTGTAGTTTTTTTTTTATCGTCACTGCTTAACTTCACATATTGATTTCCGTTAAAATACCAGCCAGTAAATGGGGGTGCATTTGAGGTCTGTTCTTTCCAAAGTACACTGTTTCAAACTTTACTATGGCCCTGGCCTAGCATACATACACATTTTATTTTATTATGCATGAAGTAATATGCACACATTTTTAAAATGCACCTGGAATATATAACCAGTGTTGTGGATTTAACAGAAATGTACAGCAAGGGGATTTATAACTGGGGGAGGGTGAAGTGAAGACAATGACTTACTGTATATGAAAACACATTTTTCATAGGGAAGGATACAGAAGCATGTGAGACTGGTTCCATGGCCTCTTCAGATCTCTAACTTCACCATATTACCACAAACATACTAACCAGCAGGAATGCCTTACCCTCATGTTCTTAATTCTTAGCTCATTCTCGCTGTATGTTACTAAGTTTTTATGGCTTTTGTGCATTATCGAGATACTGTATCATGACAAAGACTGAGTAAATTGTGCATCTGGTGGTTTCAGAAATGTGTTATCACCCAGAAGAAAATAGTGGTGTGATTTGGGGATTTTTTCTTTTCTTTTTTCTTTTCTTTTTTTTTGGACAAGGGGCAGTGGTTGTTTTCTGTTCTTTCTGGCTATGCATTTGAAAATTTTGATGTTTTAAGGATGCTTGTATATAATGCGTGCATACCACTTTTGTTCTTGGTTTGTAAATTAACTTTTATAAACTTTACCTTTTTTATATATAAACAAAACCAAGTTTCTAAAGGCTACCTTTGTATTTCTCTCCTGTACCTCTTGAGCCTTGAACTTTGACCTCTGCAGCAATAAAGCAGCGTTTCTATGACACATGCAAGGTCATTTTTTTTTTTAAGAAAAAGGATGCACAGAGTTGTTACATTTTTAAGTGCTGCATTTAAAAGATACAGTTACTCAGAATTCTCTAGTTTGATTAAATTCTTGCAAAGTATCCCTACTGTAATTTGTGATACAATGCTGTGCCCTAAAGTGTATTTTTTTACTAATAGACAATTTATTATGGCACATCAGCACGATTTCTGTTTAGATAATACACCACTATGTTCTGTTAATCATTAGGTGTGACTGAATTTCTTTTGCCGTTATTAAAAATCTCAAATTTCTAAATCTCCAAAATAAAACTTTTTAAAATAAAGTGCTGGTTTGGTCTGTTTGCCCCCTGTTTTCTAGTTTCCTGCAGCTTTATAATCCTGTTTTAAAATCCTGCACACAAATCCTTATCACCCAGCATCACCCACCACCTCGTCGTCTGGTGTCGCATGCAGAATCTGTCCCCTTGGCCGGCACGTACGGATGGGTGGGCAGTGCTCACCTGCAGGGCTCAAATCAAAGTGGGGCAGAAGGACCTGGAGACAGAGTGGGAGAAAGCAGCAGATAGACTTCCCCCTGCGGGTAAACACACACCCCTGTGTGGGGAAACACACGTGCATTCCTGTGTGTGTGCACGCACGCGTGTGAGGGACCATTTGTGTCACGTGCGTTCCTGTGTGTGTGCACACACGCGTGTGAGGGACCATTTGTGTCACGTGCGTTCCTGTGTGTGTGCACGCACGCGTGTGAGGGACCATTTGTGTCACGTGCATTCCTGTGTGTGTGCACGCACGCGCGTGAGGGACCATTTGTGTATGGTTTTATTCCCCAGGTAAATAGCATGTCACCCACATTGGGGGAAGAAAATGGGTTTAATGAGCATAAATATTCTATTGTGGATACTTATTTAACTACCACCCCTGTTGATACTTAGCTTATTGCTATAGTGTTCTAGTAAACATCTTTGTGGATTGAATCCATCTAGGTGGATTTTATTTTGTTTCATCTTTATTAAGGTATAATTTACATATGGTAAGTTACTGTTTTTAAAATGTATAGTTCAGATTTTGACAAACACATACTGTTTATTTACCACAGTTAATGCATCAAACAGCCTTCTCAAATCATTTGTACCCCTTTATATTCAACCCTCTTCCAGCCCCTGGCAGGGTGATCTCTTCTGTTTCTGTCGTTGCCTTTTGACAGCATCATATAAATGGAATCTCTGAAATGTTGCCTTTGAGTCTGGCTTATTTCCCTTAGCGTGATGCATTTGAGATTCGTGGATGACGCTGCAGGTTCTTTTTTCTTGCCACGTGGTATTCCGTTGTGTGGCTGTACCAGAGCTTGCTTATCCTTTCCCCAGTTAAGGAACTTTTGGGTTGTTTCCAGGTTTGGGAGGCTATTAATAAACTGCTATAAACATTTGCATACAGGGTTTTGTGTAAACATTTCTTCATTTCGCTTGACTTCAGTTTGATGGATGTCTAGTTTATCAGTTTGTTCTTTCATAGATTGTGCTTTTGTTACATTTTCACTAAGTTTTACATCTTCACTAAGAGAAATCTTCACCTAGCCCAAAGTGTAAAGATTTCTCAAGTTTCGGAATTTTTTGTTTTATATTTATGTCTATAATCCACTTTGAGTTAATTCATGTGTAGTATGATGTAGGGGTTGAGTTTTTTATTGTTTTAAATGTGTCCTTATCGTAAACACAGACACATATATAAGGCCTAAATAAGACAGTTTTCATTTAAATAAATTAGGGAAACAATGTATTGTGAAAGGGGCGGAACTCAGTAAGTCTGTTGTTTGTCCCCCTACCTTTTAGTATGTGATGAACATCTGGTCAGGTGTAGATACCTAGCGCTGCTTCCTAAGGACATTTCTGTGCCTAACCGTCGTCGCACAGCACTGAGCATGGGCAGTGAGTTCGTTCAGATGGCCGAGTTTTAGAGGCAGAATTCTGCTTTTGCCCTTCCCCTATACTAACATTGTACTCAACAAAGGCTTAGTGAACGTCCACTAACACCGCGTGAGTCGGTTCCTCCTCTTGACCTCTGAGCGAATACTTGATGCAGTACACAAGGCACTGCAGATGGAGATGACTCAGGTGAGGAGATCCGGACGTTGACACTGTGTGGCTTCCGTCTAGACCGGGAGCAGTTGGCTAGGAAGGGATGTGGCAGCAGATGCAGGAAGGCCACCTAGCAGGCAGATGGGGAATAAGTTTTCGGTTTGCCTTGACTCGCAGTTTGAAAACCATTTACTGTGGAAGCCACGCTGTTTTCTGTGCAATTTGCAGAAAGCAAACCCAAGGGCTGTGTGCACAGATGCATCCCGGGACACGTTCCCGTGGCTGCCCAGCAGCCCTACAGAGAGTGACCCGGCACTTACCTGTTCCCAGGCTGCTTACCTGGGTTTCCCCAGATGATGGAGTGTGGGAAGACCCATTGTGATGTGCTGGTTTTTACAGAACCACATTGTTGTCTCCTGATCAATTTGATCCCAGCAAAAACTCAGTGGCATTTTTGACTCTTACCTACTCGTGTGTTTTTCTTTGGAACAACTCAACAGTGAAGGAGCTATTGCCCAAGATGCAGGAATACCATTTGGTTTGGGGTTGGGGTTTTTTTGTTTGTTTTTGGCGGGGGAATTCACTAAGAAGGTATATATTAAACTTGGAAGATTTCTAGTTCAAAACTAAAATGGGTAAAATGTTAAGTGTTTTCCATTTCTATTGTAGATAGTTACGGCTTTCTTTACCAGTGGCCATGAAGGTGCCCCCTAGCGCTTGTTTCTCCCAGCTGATGGGTGTTCACTCAGGTTAGCCAGAAGTGACACAAACGAGGTGCTCAGAGGAGAGCTCTGTAACCAAGTGCGACAAGCCTTCCACATGGTGACACTCCCCTCCCTCCCTCTGCAGCATAGGCCATTCTGAGGGAATTGTGTCCACAGTCTAGGAAACCACATGCCAATAAAGACTAAAGATTGAGTTGTGTGGCACCAAGTTTTCTGCCTACTGGCACAATGCCAGGCAGGGGAGATGTGTAGGGTTTTCACTCGGTGCGCGAGAGAAGTGCACCTTGTGAGACGCAGCAGAGCCCCCATGTGGGCGGCCCTCCTCTGGCACTCGCCCACGGAAAAAGAGGAAGAGGTGGGTGCACGGGTGGTGATTTTAGCGTGTTTGTACCTCGGCTTGATTGTCACCGTAAAGGTTTGAGGTAATTTGATCTCTTTGTCCACATATCATCTCCTGGTCTTAAGTGGATTTGAAAACATGCAGGAATAAGTCATTTTATACCCCCTTCAAAACAGAGAAGGAAGGAAAATGTGGAAACTGACATGTGGCCGGTGTGCTGCTGCTGTTGAGTGTTGAGGGGCCTGCCAAGTATTCACCCTAGCAGCTCTTCAGTTCTTGTCAAAGGGGGGGTGGTGGGCCAGAAATTCGGGGCTTGGGAATGAACGGGCAAGTGGGAGGTTTACCTAGGGCGGAGGGACTCTTGAGGACAGTGCTTAGCAAGCAGTTTTGCAGCCTGCTCTTTAGTAGAGGACACATGTACCAAACAGTCCCAGGGCTTAATTGTTTTTTTGTTTCCTGGAGACGGAGTCTCGCTCTGTCACCCAGGCTGGAGGGCAGTGGGGCAATCTCGGCTCACTGCGCCGCCATGCCTGGCTGATTTTTGTATTTTTAGTAGAGACAGGGTTTCACCATGTTGGCCAGGCTGGTCTCAAACTCCTGGCCTCAAGTGATCCGCCCACCGTGGCCTCCCAAAGTGCTCGGATTCATTACAAGCATGAGCCACTGCGCCCTGCCCATTGGTTTCTTGATAGGCCCAGGGAGGAGGGTGGAAGTTTGGTCAGTAGGATCCAGTGCTGCTGTCCCTGGGGAACAGGATTTGGTTCTTATGTTTTTGAATATTTAAACTCAGTTGAAGTGCTTCCACCAAGCCTTAGTTGCTCCCCAGTTTTAGCAACCATTAATGTGCCACATTTATGACAGCACAAACTGCAAATTTTCCAAGAAAGCATCTGGAGTCTCTTGAAACTTTTGGCTTCAGAGGACCACAGGCAGGAAGAGCGAAGTGGATCTGCGTCCATCGTCTTGACGACTTTGTGGGATAGAGGCAAAGAACCCTGCGCAGGGAGGACGGGACTAAACCGAAGACCCTCACCTCAGTCAGGGAACCAGGAGAGCATCGCCTTCAGCCCATCACAGCCCAGCAACTTAAGCGTCCACCACCCAGGCAGGAGAAGGGTTAGTTTTTATTTTGTTAGCATATTTTCACACTTAGTTGCAATAACACAGCATTTGCGAGAATAATACAGAAAACTTCCTTCTGCCCTTGACCTAGACTCCCTGAAGATTGCCAGTTTTCCACCTGTGCAGTGCACTCTAGGTAGGTAGGTAGGTGGGTAGTCAGCTTGGGCTATCGTAACCAAATACCATGGACCGAGTGGCTTCAACCAGGTCCAAGATGCTTCCTTGGAAAATTTGCCGTTTGTGCTGTTGTCATTTATTTTCTCATCGTTTCGGAGGCTAGAAGGTGCCAGCATGGTCAGTTTCTGTTAAGGGTTCTCTTCCTGACTTGTAAACAGCAGTCATCTCTGTGTCCTCAGTGGCCTGTCCTTGATACATGCACATGGAGAGAGCAGACACACCCTCTGGTGTCTCATGGGGATCCTAATCCTATCAGATCAGTGCCCACCCTTAGGACCTCATTCAACCTCAGTTGCTTCCTTAGAGACCCCATGTCCAAATGCACCCACAGTGGGGGTTAGGAATTTTAGGGGACATAAACATTTCTGCCCGAAACAGTATTCTTCTGAATCATCCGAGCATAAGGTTGAAGACATGATGCATATTACCTAAGAACCAGGGTATTCTCTTATATAACTACAGTACACTTAACCTCAGAAAGCTTTACAAGAATTGATTTTGGCTTCATCTCTTTTCTTCTATTGACTCTCTGTTTTTCATTGCGTGGAGTTTGCGCTAGTCTTTATTATTTCCTTCTTGCTTTGGGTTCAGTTTGTTCTTTTTCTAATTTTTGAAGGAGGAAGCTTGGTTTGGTGATTTCAGATATTTTTAAAATAGGCATTTAAAAGCTATAAATTCCTTCTAGACACTGTGTAGCTGTATTTCCTAAATGTTGATATTTTTACATTTTCATTTAGTTCAAAATGTTTTCTATTTTCCCTCTTTACACAGCAGGTAGCATGTCTCACGCACTGTTCTTCACCTTGCTTCTCTTCCTGCATTTTGTGATTTAACCCCTGAGTTATTTAGAAGTAATTTTTAAAATTTTCAAACATTTGGGGCTT